CACCGTTGACTACCATTATCTCATTTCACTCGCATCAAGGTTCTGCTTGTCCTCTTCAATAAGACAAGCCGAACAACGCCTACTGTCGCCAGACGGTCAAGAAGATAATGCCGGCATTATTATCTTACATGGGGCACTGTTGAAATGTTAAACTGTTCCTGTAATACTTAATGCTGTTCAAATTTTTTATTTCAAATACTAGAAGCGAAAGCGCGAAATGTTTCCTGCGCGTGGAAAATGATAGAAGCTTTTCAACCTCTCTGGTCTTCGGTTGTACTTCTCTCAGCTTCTACAGATGGAAAAGATTCTTTATGCAAGACTTGGTGAATTGCCTTTAAATAGATATGCTATACATGAACATAATTCTAATTACGCATTCGATTCGGCACTCGTATGGTCAAACCTTTTATTGAAACGTCAACCAACACCATTGACGAATATCAGGAGTGCTCTTGCGAATATTCGATTGGCTTAGTCGAAGATGCAGATCAGGAAGTGTAAACTAATTCGAATCTGCCAAATTTAATTGAAATAGACATTGCATTTTACATGCATTTAGTGCATATTCTTGAATTGAATTCGGCACATGTACAATGCATCGTTCAACCGGGTGTAACCGCCGCTGTTTGTGTGAGTAAACCCGTTGAGAGAATGGAAAATCTAAATATATCGACTGTTCTCAAGATAAGGTGTCGTTAGAGAGCTATAAAATGACATAATTCACTATCAAAATGTCTGAAAATGTGCAGACATTCGCGGACTTGAAATCAGCATTTCGAATCATTTGGGCTGACAAAGTTAGAACATTCATCTCCTTATCAACCCCGAAATGATTTAAAATGTACTTATTGATGACTTAACTTAACCAAACTCTCTGAGGCAACTCGAACACGAAATGTGTTCTCCGCACTCTCAACTGATAACGAGACGTTTTTTACCTCTTTTCAAATGTAGGTCAACGTGTTACCATGGTTGCGTCAAAACAAAGCAGGAAAACATGGAACCTAATAGTGTCCAAGGTTCTTCGGAGTCAGGTTTCTCAGAGGACGCCGTAAAAATTTGTGTCAACCACTTTCTTTGCTTCGTTTCGAACTAATCAGTCGCTGGAAACATGTTTACCGAGCACATAGCTGTGTTCATATTTGTGGGTTTATCCATCGCACAAGGTAAGTAAATGTTAACGTATTTCTCCCCACCAGATGTGGGTGAAAGAGGGGATGCTGAAATAACGCTCGAGATTTGAAGTTGCGCACGGCAAATGATAAAACGTCAAGTTTGCAGTCTCTGTCTTTCGAACAATCTTCTGTAAAAATTTGAATATGTTTATCGTCGGTTTCAGTCGTAGGCATCCTAATTTCGATGTCAGAAGTAAATATCCCGTTTCTGTTTTCAGAGAACGTGGATCTAATTTTTTTCAACCTATAATGGCTTTGAGGGGGTCATAGCGTCTGAAGGGCAATGTTGGTTGCATCTTTTGGTCGTACCTAGTAACGGTAACTTATCCTATATATATCATAAAGCATCGTTTCAAGATCGGCTTGGTAACCAATTTCTTTGGTTACCAGATGTCCTCGACGAAAACTGATTAATTGTATTACACAAAAAAAGAGTTGTTGCGCACTCATTTTTCGTTTGACCGTCGCGAGTCTGAAGGGGCAGAAGGAGTCTTTTACTTTAGTCTCTTCGCCCTAACTGTTTTTCAATGTCAATTCTGACTGCCTAAAACATGGGTCAATATTTTCTGACAGTCATCACAGTGCACCGTAACCCTTGTGATGTTTCATGTGATTAAAACAGTCAATGTTTCAATCTCTTAAGACTCTTAATCTACTTCTGGCGGCGATCGTAAGACTCGAAGAGACGAGATACGAGAGACTCGGAAAATTCAGCGAGGGATGTATGGTTTGCTTCATCAAATCTTAGGCCTATAGCAGACTTAATCTCACATAATTTTCCATACTCTCTGCCAGACCAGGATAACATCAACATTGCACGTGTGACTTCTGTTAACAGATATTCTAAGAGGTCATGATCAATTTCAGGCAAACAAATTTAGGTCCCTTTCTACTGGGATGGTAGAAAACTTGCCAGATTTCAATCAGCATCGATACGCTAAAACCTTATTCTAGGTGAAAGGGTCATTAAACGTTTCCCATAGCTCATCCCATACCAGGTAAATATATATTTACTTGACATTTGCTTTTGGTTTTGATTGAACAGTTGGCAATATATCACTCGGTATTAAACGTACTTCGATCGTAGTTTTGTCATGAGGCAGGCGCGTGTGCAGCGACATCCTAAAACATTCCTGTATCCTTTTTCAGGAAAAAATTGAAAAAAAAGTAGAGAGATGGAAGCAGAGCTGAGAAAATTTCGCAGCTTCACTCGCGTGCTTGCATTTTTCAAGGTTAAATCCTCGCGTGGCACCAACAACTCATGTTTACTTCAATTCAACTAAATGATTGAAACTTTTTTTTACAAAGGATAATGTAGGATCGACGCCGACCTAGAGCGTCGGCTTCACTCGCGTGGAGTCAATTATTTCCTCTAGCCCTTCGCGAAACTTATAATGCAAATTTGCTAATCCATTCTATTGATACACACAACTCGACAGTAGCTCAGAGTTAAAACGGATGAAGTTTTTCACCAAAACCATGTATTTTTCGATTTTTAAACGCTAACAAAAATGTAGTCATGGTATGTCCACTCCGGAAGATAACACCGCAAACAACAGCAAGCTGTAACCGCGATTAGAACACTCATGCATCACATAGCGCAGCAGAACCCGTTTTTTCCCCCGATAATATTTTCCTGTAAAGAAATTTATAACGAAGCTTTTTTTGCACCCTTCGCTGGCAGCACATAATTGGTCAAATGCTAAGGAAGTGATGTACTTTAAAGCAATTATTGAAGGAGTATAATCGTAGAAATTTTTTTCTTGCTGGCGTTTCCTGACGCGCCGCTGCGAGCATTGCTAACTACATGTATTAGGCTGCGAGAAAATAAACAGAGACAAGTCGAAAAGGTTCTTTACTCACAAACCTCTTTTACAATCTATGACCGATGTTACGTCTCGTATCTCAAGTTAAGAGAGGATGTCAGCATCCATCGAACAAATTTGAAATATTGTGGCAAGTCGCCCAAAAATCGTTTTCTCTCCAACTTTCATATGTTGTAGCCCAATATTTCCTCATAATTGTGGTGTAGTTTTTTTGCGAAAATATATTTTAGTTTTCGAGAAATTATTTTTTTCGTTCGACCGCTCAAATATGCAAATTTTCATCCTGAATATTACCCGAGTTGTGTGACCTCATGTAACGAATTTACTTGACCTCCGGTATTTCTGTCAAACTTAAACTTAATCCCCTTTAGTTTTCTGAATACAGTAGTTCTTGGAAGGTTTTTATAGATATGCAAAGAGGGAAAAAAACCCATCTCTCGGTAATTCGGAGGTTGATTCATCTTTGAATTTACATGTGTCACGATTGTCATGCAACGTCTCGGTAACGAGATTCGATCTATGAGTTGGGCAAATTGTAAAATCATCGATATCTTTTGGCGTCTCGAGATGCCGGCACGTGACATAATAAGAACAACTTCAGTTTCTGGATCTCCGCAAGTGACTTGAAATGTCTTTTTTACAACTACGCAAGGGAACGACCTGAGATATGCAACGTCAGTCTTCTCGATAACTATACCTAAAAGTCCCACCAGCGAACGATTTAAATGAACAGCAAATCTCCATGCTAGCATGTAAGAGGAAACGCTTATACAACAGATCAGTTAGCTATATCAGTATGTAGCTTGTCAATCGAATTAACTTTTGTGAACATTCTTTGACTTCCGCCGGCAAAGGAATCATTGATGGATCTGGACACTTAAGTTTTCTGAATAAAGTAGTTCTTGGAAGGTTTTTATAGATATGCAAAGAGGGAAAAAAACCCATCTCTCGGCCTCCCTTGCTTACCCAGAGTCAAAGGTCTGATCAGAGTAGAATATTAGTTAGCTGTCACAATTTAACTTTGGCATTGTTGTGGCAGAACAGATAATCGCTCTTTGTGTCACAAACCAATAAATATGTGGATAACAGACACAACATGCCGGGTACAACATCTGTTGCTTGATTCTCAAGTCGCGCAGTCTAAACAGGCTATCCTCAAGTGTCATGACACGTTTGGGTTTAGCTAAGCCGTTTCTGTCGCTGAATCATTTTGCAATTGTGAAAATTGTCATTCATGCTATGATTGCGTAGTTATTTCCAAAGCAAAAATTGTGCGAAAGAGTCTAAAATTTACGTGGCACTCGCTAACGCGCAAGCCGCGCGGATCCTCGCGCATGTTTAATTAATTAATTTCACGTTCGAAGCCAAACACCTCTCTTTCACTTGCTAATTGAGTCCTCTCGCTTTATATTGACAAGCCTATGGATCATTTTAGGCTTCCCTGGTGAGAATTTTTTTCTTGAGCAACGCTCGTCATGTGTGTTTATTGATAACTTACCTTAACTTAACTTAACCGAACTCTCGAAGGCAACTCGAGCATGAAATGTGTTCTCCATATTCTCTTTTGTAAACTTTGTCCTGTTTACTAGGGATAGAACTCTGACGAACGAGACTCAATTAAACTGTTTTATTTCGCTCTCGTATTCGCTTATTTACATCAGGTGTGTAAAAAGCTACTCTGCAAAATTTGTAAGAAATCACTCTCCTATACGATATTTTCTACATTTTGATTGGTTGTTGCCGAGTAGTGATTTAAAAGGGTCATTCAAGGTTGCGTTGATTATGTAAACCATTCAATGTCCATAGTGTTCGCACTCATCATCTGACATGTGTCACGCACGAATCAAAGTCTCCGACACACTCCCCCATGCAACATTGCGTGCAAGGGTGCATTCACCTAGGAGACTTAACGAATTCAACTAAACGAAAAAGTTCTCTATAAATCAAACGTTTCAATTAAGTTCACAATTTTGAAGTTCAGTGAAAAGGAAATTGTGATTCATTGTTCATCTTCAGCAAGGTCCTGGATTCGGGCTCTGGCAGCAACTGCAGCATCCCGTCTCGGCCTGAAAACTAGTGCGTTTGGGTTCAAATCTGCTGTGGGAGCGTCTGCATGTGTCTCACAAGCCTGGTCGCAGTTTAGCTCAAGAGGGTACAGGTGTTGAACAGGCCTCTCTAACATGCCGTTTGCTGTCTTGAGTTGAACTGCGCGGATGATTCCGTCCCTCCCGGGATAGGTTTTGTTTACTATCGCCAGTGGCCAACTCCCACGATTCTTGTTTTCGGTCTTTATAGTTACGACATCTCCAACATTTGGCTGAAATTTGGCCGCTTTGTGTGTCAGGTTGTGCCGCTCCCTTAAAGCTGTTAAATATTCTCTCTGCCACCGCCTCCAGAGATTGTTCTTGCAGTTCCTGAGGTATTTAGCGCGTTTGCGTAGGTCCAGGTCTTTGATCCTCCCTGTTTTCTCTTCTGGCAGCTGACTCGTTCGCTGAAACAGGAATGTTGACGGTGTAAGTGTTGGTAGCTCGACATCATCTTCTACATAACTTAATGGACGTCGATTGATTTGTGTTTCCACGTCGAGCAGTACCTCGCTCAGCTCAGTCCAGGTAAGTACACCTCCCCCAATGACTTTGTACATGGCGGACTTTACGACTCCAATCAACCGCTCGAATTGACCTCCCCACCAAGGAGCCCGGCTTAAGTTAAATTTCCAGGTTATGTCGTAATCTTCAAGGAGACTTTGGAGGCGCTCATCTCCTCGCAATTGGCGAAGCCATTTCGCAGCCTTGATAAAGGTGCCTCCATTGTCTGAGTAGATAACGCGCGGTCTGCCGCGGCGAGCGATGAGGCGTTTAAGACAGGTAATAAAATTGCTTGTCTCTAGACTAGACAATAATTCTAGGTGCACGGCTCTGGACAGGCTACACGTGAAGATAACCAAGTAAGCTTTCTCCTCGCCCTTCTTGCGTTGTTTATACTTGATAGGACCAGCAAAATCCGTGCCAATAACTTCGAAGGCTGTTCCACCATCTGTACGGTCTGTAGGCAGTAGTCCAGGGGGTGGTACTGTTAAGGGTGAAGCGATGAAACGTTTACAGCCCCAACAAGCAGATCGCACAGACTTCACTAGCTGTCTCAGGGTTGGGATCCAGTACTGTTCACGAATCGCTGCCATGGTAAGGGCCACACCTCCATGTAAGGTTTCGACATGAATCCTCTGTACAAGCTTCCTCGTAAACACGGCGTCTGCTGGCAGGTACACTGGGTATTTTCCTTGAATTCTTCCATGACATTCGAGAATTCTATCTGCATTGGAAACGAGGTTGAGTTTCTGCCTGGTCTGTTCAAAGTGCGGTTTCTGTAAATCTTGAGACTGGACTCTTTCTATCCACCAGTTCTTGGTCTCTTGAATGTCTTCGCTAGTAAGAGGTCCCTTGCGCACCCTGTGAGTGGTGAACCGTCGCACCCAAGCTTGGATGCGAAGAGCTCGGCGTAAATCATGGCGTTTTAGGAGTTCGTCGAACACGTTCCGTTCTTGTTCAGGTTTCTCATTTGCTAGGCTTAGCACTTCTCGGATGACTTTTGCCTCTTCTTCTGAGGTTTCGGATTTCACGGTAACCGGGTTCTCTGGCCACATTTCAGGATTACGTAGCCACGCTGGGCCATTCCACCAAAGCTCTGCGTTGGTTACCTGGCCTCCTCGACTCGCCAGGTCCGCTGGGTTATCGGTAGTGGGCACGTGTCTCCACTGGATCTGTGGGTATTGCCTTATTTTTTGCACTCGGTTAGAGACGAACTGTCGGTACTGACCATTTCCTACAATCCAGTGGAGGGCGACGGTGCTGTCCAGCCAACCGTAGATCATGGGTTCGGGTAGTTCTTTTAGAGCGTTTCTTACGTTGATGACTAAATTGGTAGCCATGTGAGCGCTGACTAACTCCAACCTGGGGACGGTTAGTTCTCTCTTGGCTAATCTTGCTTTTGCTGCAACCAGGGTTTGAGTGATTCCATCTTCTTGGCGTACGACTGAATACACCACTGCTCCAACCCCATAAGTTGACGCATCCCCAAACACATGCAGCTCAGCGGAGATGACTGGTTGTTGATAAGGTGCTAAGGGTCTTCGAGTGGTTACTTCCGCCGGAAGTGACTGCTCCCACCTTTGCCAGCGTATTTTCAGATTCTCTGGGATAGGTGCGTCCCATGATACTTTGCAGTCGCACGCTTCTCGGTAGATTTGCTTCCCTTGCAGTGTAATGGGGGACGCTAAGCCAAGGGGGTCGTACACTTTCGCTAGTTTGGCCAGTACTTCACGTTTTGTCGGTGCACTACTCGCGCTTGGGAACTGCACGGCGATAGTATCTTCGAATTTGTCCCATTTTACGCCCAATAGCTTTGACTCACTTGGCTTGACTAGTAACTGTTGTTTTGCATAAGACTGATCTTCGCTTGATGTGGCTTGGGCGCTGTTTTTACGTAAAGTAGGCTGGGCAACTTCCTTTCCTTGTGCAGGTTGGGTGTCATCTTCCAGCTGTGCATGATTCGAGTGCCATTTGTGTAACTCAAATGTGGCATCCTTCATAATTTTTTGCGTCACCTCCTTTCGTACTTTTGCTTGCTGTACGTCTTGACCGCCTGTCAACAGGTCGTCTACGTAGAAACTTCGGCGTAGCCGCTCTACCTCCTCCGGGTATTTCTCCGCCCAGGTATCGAGATGGCATTCAAGAACCCCACCTAGTAGAAAGGGTGAGGGGGCGAGCCCAAAGAGTACTCTCGTGAACCGGAATGTCTGCACTTCTGAGTCCGAATCTGTCTGCCAGTGAAAACGGAGGGCATCTCGTTCACTCTCGTGAATCCGGATTTGTAAGAAGGCTTTCTTAATGTCTCCCGCTAGGACAACTGGGTAGGCTCTCTGCTGAATTAGAACGTCCCATAGTTTGTTTTGCAGCGCAGGCCCTGGGTACAGACAGTCATTCAGTGATGGTGAATCGGGTGTCGCTCGGGCAGAGGCGTCATAGACGATCCGCATCTTTGTAGTTTCAGCGGACTTGCGAATCACGCTCTTGTGAGGGATGTAGAACTCTTTCTGTGGCTGTGAAACAGGGGGTGCCTTTTCGATAACGCCTTCTGCCAGCTGTTCTTGAATTATCGCGTCGTATTGAGCCGTCAGTTCCTCGCGTTGAAGTTTTCTACTGAGGTTCTTGAGTCGTTTTAAGCTACCTTCCTTGTTTGAGGGCAGTTCTGCGTGGTTAGCTTTCCATGGGAGCGTGGTCTCGTACCAGCCTTCTGGCGAGCGTGTTAGGCGTTCCTTAAACTCATCAAATACCATCGACTGGTCATGATCTGCTATATCACGCAATCCCAAGACGTCCAATCTGCACAGATCTTCGTAGTTGCTTTGACTTGTCTGGGTGAGAAGCATGGTGTTTTTGTCAAACTCCTTTCCCGGGGACATCAGAAACCATCCGAATTTGGTGAGTTCTGCGATAGGGTCATTCTCTTGTCCAATTCTTGGCTTTGTTTCCGTTTTAATTCTGGCGTACTCCCCACTGCCAAGCACCACGTGAACCGGAAGAGACGCTTTTGTGTCATCATCGTAAACATTTACGCCTTTCAAGTGTGGGTGCTTCTCAATTAGCGTGCGATAATTGGGGTTTTCAATAGACAACAACTCTCTCTTGTTCACTTTGGTAGCTTTGACGGACAGCGAAAATTGATGGTTGACAGATCTTAATTCGAGATCGTAGACTTCGAGTTTGGCAATTTTAGAGGACATCAGCATATCGATCGTTTTTGTCTGGACATCGGTTGGCTTTAAGCGAAGTAGTTCGATCAGCTTTGCCGACACGTACGAACTGCCGGCTCCAGAATCGATAAGCGCTCTGCATTTAATTCCGTTGACCTCTATGATGACTACTGGGAACAGACCCTCTCCAGTTTGGTTTGTTGTCAAAGCGACCCCATGTGCTGATGGCTGGTTAACTTGGCTTGTCGGGTTTGGTGTGTCACAAATCGACGTGTGGTGACGCTTATGGCAGCGTTGACAGGCTGATTTGCTCGGACAATAGAACGCGCGGTGGTTCCCAGACACACAATTGAAACATAAACGCTTATTTAGTAAAATTTGTCTGCGATCAGCGACATGTGTCACTCTTGTACATTCGATGGCTTTGTGATCTTCGCCGCAGTAAACGCAACGCCAACAGCGGGGTTTACCATCGGCGTCCCGACGCGTGTGGTAAATTCTTGCTTGCTGGCGTACGTTCCGTTTTGTTGATTGCTGTTCTTGCTCACGCTCACGCTGGTTTATATCCATTGGATTTCTCCTGGTCCACAATCGAACTGCTTCTGAAAGTTTTGCAAAGTCCCAGCTTTCCCAGTCGGGGTCGGTCCGGACGAGATCTCCGCGGATCGCTGGCAATTTGTCTAGTGTCATAGACACCGCCCCATTGACTTGTTCCAGTTTGTTTAGTGTCTGCAGGGCTTGCACACAGTACGTTAGCTTTTCGCTAAATTCACCAATTTTTCTCGGGTTTGGGCTTGATATTGAGGGGAGATCCAGAATCTCTTTGATGTAAGCTTTGACGATTTCTGACTCCTTTCCGAACCTCTCGCTTAGGATACTCTTTGCCCGATTGTATCCCTCAGCCGTGAAGGGCAACGCCTCTATTGCTCTTTTCACTTTGACATCCAGTAGTTCTCGAAGGTAGGTAAATTTCGTGATCGGTTGAGCGCCCGTTTTATCGATTGCTTCTGTGAACTGTCCCCAAAATCGTGGCCAGTCCATATAGGTACCGTCAAACTTCGTTATCATCAGTTTAGGCAGCTTGGCTTGTATGTCGCTTGGCGTCGTCGTCGCTTGTTGGGGGTGTGGCTCAACTTGGATTTCTGCCTGCATCTCTATCTTCGCTTTGTGAAACTTAAGTTCTTCTTGCTTGACAATTGCTTCTGCTTCTCTTTTGCGGTCGTCGATCCACGTGCACATTTTATCCACTTCGCAATCCGCTTTTTCCAGTTGTGCGTCGATTCCGCTGCTCCACGCCTCGATGTCGGCAATTTTTTCTTTCGCACCTAGTTTTGTCGCTTCTACTTCTATCCGCATTCGATTTAGTTCTTTACTGAGGGACCGCAGGGTGGACAAATGTCTTTCGATCGCTTCTGACTTCCCTGTTTCTACGATGGTGTTCGTTTTACCAATGCTCATTTTAAGCTGTGTCACTTTGATATCTAGATTCGCTTCAGTCGCTTCCATCTCCGCAATCTTCGCACGGGCGGAAAATCAGGACTAAAATTATACTCACAACAGTTGTCCTTACTGTTATCCTTCAGAATTGTCGCGTTGCCGGAGGTGCCACGTTTTGTAAACTTTGTCCTGTTTACTAGGGATAGAACTCTGACGAACGAGACTCAATTAAACTGTTTTATTTCGCTCTCGTATTCGCTTATTTACATCAGGTGTGTAAAAAGCTACTCTGCAAAATTTGTAAGAAATCACTCTCCTATACGATATTTTCTACATTTTGATTGGTTGTTGCCGAGTAGTGATTTAAAAGGGTCATTCAAGGTTGCGTTGATTATGTAAACCATTCAATGTCCATAGTGTTCGCACTCATCATCTGACATGTGTCACGCACGAATCAAAGTCTCCGACATCTCAACTAATATCGACAGGTTTTTTACCTCTCTTCAAGTGTAAGTCAATGTGTTACCATGGTTACTTAAAAAGAAAGCAGGAAAACACGGAACTGAACTGTCCAAAGTAGTTGGGTGTCAGGTTTCTCAGGGGACGCCGTTAAAAATTTGTGTTGACCACTTGCTTTGCTTCGTTTCGAACTAATCAGTCCCTGGAAAGATGTTTCCTGAGCACATAACTGTATTCATATTTGTGGGTTTATCCTTCGCACAAGGTATGTAAACGTCAACGTATTTCTCCCCACTAGATGTGGTTGAAAGAGGGTATGTTGAAATGACGCTGGAGGTTGGATGTTGTATTTGTGACACTCGTCGTGGACTTATAAAAAGTATGAATCATGACATTTACGCCATGTGAAAGAAAACTGTTTTCCTTGAATAACTCTTCCACTTAATGCAAAGCAACTGAGAAACATTTAAGTGCTAAGATTGACATATAAGGAGGATTCTTTAGGACCATGTTGATGCAAACGGCAAACAACAAAATGTCAAGTTTCCTCCGCTCTGCCTTTCGAACAGAAAAGTTAAAAATCTGAATACGTTTATCGTCGGTTTCTGTTGTAGGCATCCTAATTTCGATCTCAGAAGTCAATTTCCGGTTTTTGCACTGGAGAACGTGGATCTTATTTATTTCAACCTATAATAGCTTTGAAGAGGTCATAGCGACCGATAAGCTGAATTAGTTACATCTTTTGGTCATACCTATCTCACTGATAACGGTTACTTATCATTCTAAATGGCGCGTCGTTTCAAGCTTCGGTTGTCCTCAATTTCTTTTGTTACCAAATGTCCTCGATGAAAACTGGTTGATTAGGGCCGGATCACATTACAGACGATTTAGCAGAAACTTGTTTACTCTAGGGACTGAATCTGTCAACACACCTTTTTTTCTGATGAGACCCCTCATTTGTGAATTTTCAAAAATTTCAAAATCGTGAAAAAAAAACCATCAAAGACGCCTGTGTGCTTCGGTTGGGCAGACCAATTTTTCCAAATCTCGAAAAATCAAAGGAGCCCGCCGCCAAAGCTGTCGACAGTTGAAAAAAGTGACTCCTAATATAGACGACAAGGTCTCGAAAGTGAAAAAGAGAGCGAAATTTCATCATTTACACTGACGTTTTCATTGCGTGCGGTTCGAAGCTACAGCATGGACGGGCGAGATTTTCCCTTTCCTTACTACGGCCATCAAATGCCAAGAAGTGAGAAGTATTTCTTCCTTCAGGACCTGGGCAACACCGACACCCTCAATTTGGCCTGATGTGAGCGCCGAACAAAGAAGAGTCATTGTTACCCTGTCGTGACTGAATAAAATTTCACCGCTTAAATTTCCCCTGTGTTATTGACGCTTGCATTTTCACTCGTTGAAATGCGACCGTATAAGCTCAATCTTATTTTTATTTCCGGTCTGATGCAGTTTGATTTTCCAGCCCGATTTTTTCAAGCCAAAACGAAAATTGGTCCGTAATGCGACCCGGCCCTAAGCTCAATTTTATTTTCATTTCCGGTTTGATGCAATTTGATTTTCTAGCCGATTTTTTCGAGCCAAAATAAAAATTGGTCCGTAATTCGACCCGGCCCTTAAACAAGAATACATTAGCCCCATTCATTAAATTGAGCCAGTTTCCTTTGGCATTTAAGATTTATCAGAAAAAGAGTTGTTGTGGACTCGTTTTGCGTTTGACCGTCTCGAGTCTGAAGGGGCACAAGGAGTCTTTTACTTTTGTCTCTTCGCCCTGACTTTTTTTCATGGTCAATTCTAGTTGCCTTGAACACGGTTCTTTCAAACATATTTTCTGACACTCATTACAGTGCACCGTAACCCTTGTGATGATTCACGTGATTAAAACAGTCAATGTTTTATCCGCTTAAGACTCATTGTCTACTCCCCGTGTCGACCACAAGACTCGACCAGACGAGATACGAGAGACTCTTGAAAAATTCAGAAAGGGATGTGTGGTTCGCTTCATAAAATCTAAGGTCTACCGCAGACTCAATCTCACATAATTTTCCATACTCTCTGCCAAACGTGGATAACATCAACATTGTACGTGTGACTTCTGTTAACAATATATGCCAAGAGATCATGATCAATTTCAGGCAAACAATTTCAGGCCACTTTCTATTAAGATGGTAAAAAACTTGCCGATAATCAGCATCGATTAGCTAAAACCTTATCGTAGGTGAAAGGATCATTAAAAGTCTCCCATGGCTCATCCCATACCAAAGATTTTAGGTTAAGTACGGAGTCCCCACCGGTTCCTGCTATAAATTCACGCCACATGTATTCGGCGACATGTCACTCACGTTATGACCTAAGAGTTAAAGAGTTGCTATGTAATGAAAAAAATGAATGTTTATGAAAGAGTTAGGTTATATCTATTTACTTGACTCAAATATGTTTTTATACATTTACTTGACATTGGCGTTTGGTTTTGATTGAACGGTTGGCGATATATTACTCGGTATTGAAATGTACTTTGATCGTTGTTTTGTCAAGAGGCGGGCACGTGTGCAGCGGCTGGCGTGACATCCCAAAACATTCCTGTATCTTTTTTCAGGAAAAATAGAAAAAATAGTAAAAGGAGAGATGGTAGCAGAGCTAAGAAAATTCGCAGTATGTTTAACGTGAAATGATCCAAAGAGGAATGGGACACGCTTGAGAAAAGTTGTGATACATGATTGTGGAATGAGAAAAACGACCTATTAAAGGAATATTGTTTTGTCACGTTACCCAAAAGAAGGTCATGCGTTTAAAATCAATCACTGTGGCAAGTTCTTCATATCTTACAGTTCTTAAAAACACTTTTCACTTGGAACTCAACCTGTATGTCGTTCGACAGGAGAATGTAAATGTTATAAATTTTTTGTATTCTCTTGATTTAGAATATCCTCTCCAAAATAAAAAGACAAAAAAAATCCTTAATTTGTTTTCTTAAGTTAAGTATTCGTGTCAAGAAATCGTTACAGGTTAGTTAAAGTCTTCTTTTTGTGTTATATTATCTCACTGTTTTAGTACATACTAAAACAACTATTTACCTTAGTGTTGGTAACCAGCGGTGGATATTTACCGAGCTGCGAAGCGGCAAGGTAAATATCCACCTATAGCCACCTCAACTTCGGTGAATAGTTGTTAAACATCTCAGTGTTAAATATTCGGGCATTTACTCATTTCGCTAGTGTCGCGTATATCAACCGCAGTGACACCTACAGCAACTTATATAGTATCCAGCAGCAGCCGTTATGCACCCGCCATACAGCCCACAACTTCAGCACAAGATTGTCCAGCAGACGGAAAGCCAACCGTAAAATCATGTAAGTGAACTTAGCAATTCTCTATAAATGCATTTTTCCCTCACCCTTTTCAAATTTTGCTCATATCACATTCAATATAAGTGTTACGGGAGTTTTTAGATATCATATTTTTATCCTTCAAAGGTACCCCCTCACCATTTTAGCTGTCCTATTAAATAACCAATGACAAAACCAAAAATCTTTGAGCGTTGACGCAAGTTAAAAGAAAATAAATAATATTCTCCAGTGGGTGCCGGCGTTAGTTGAAAAACCATTCCTTTTTTAGCACAATTACGACTAAATTCTCAGAAGAGGAACAGAAGAGGAACAAACAAACAAAAAAAAAAACGAAAACAAAAATTAATTAGGAAAAAGGAGAAGTCCACCTCTCAAATTAGATGTTTTAAATTGTACTTTCACTCTTAGTTACTCTTAAACCCTAAACTATTTCATTACTATTCTCACTTTGTCGGACATTGTGGCGCATTTTGCGGGCTAAAGTGGTGTATTTAGTGGGCTGAAATGTATTTTTTTGTATCATAACGTATGCTTCTTCTTTATTTCACCGAAACGTTTTAATCGGTTTCCACCACTACGGACGTTACTACATACGTGATCTACACCTGGTTTTTGTTGCGACAATCTCTACTATTGATCGGAAGGTGACTGTAGGAATGAAAACACCATTCACGTTTGGAGATCCTTGGGAGCCTAATCAGTCTTTCTTGATTTCTCTAAATGGAAAAGTCGTCAGGTTTCGCTGCCCACCCGCATTTCTTCTTATCACTTTACCTGCACTTTGTAGCCTCTGGCTTTAAGAACATGTAACATAACGTACATCTCTTGTTTTTTGCTTGATAGTCCTTTTTGTTTTATTTCTTCAGCGTGCGGCAGGTATACTTTACAGTCATACAATCTTAAGTGGAACGATGATTTGAACAATAGCTCATCATTAATTTATCAGATCCTGAAAAAAGGGATGTTGCATATCGTAAGTGGATACTATTTTGTTGGATAGTTTGTGTATAACCTCTGGCCTAGAATGATGATGAAACAAAGCGCGAAGCGAAACTTGTAGAAAGTGCAAGAGTCAGTCGATACGGTTAAACATCCTGATTTTAACGTTCTCTCTTTGTTAAAAATATTTTCTAGCGAAATGTAAACTTTGATTGTGATTAGCATTTACTTTATTTTCTCGTCACAGATTTGTGATAAATTGAAGATCTACGGATCCATGGTGATGTTTCCAGAACTGACTTTCGAAGAGGCGGTTGGGGGTTGGTCGATTGCCAAAGTCAAAGTGTGCCTGGTTTTTAAACCCGAAGTCGATATTGATATGGAAACTGTACTACACAATTACACGAAAAACTATACCTATGAAGCAGTCGGTTAGTGTCATTTATTTGCTAAGAGTCGCACTTTGATTGTTTAGTGGTTGAATAATATCTCACAAGGAATGAAATTATTCTTGAAAGTAAAAATTGCAAACTCGTCGCGCACCACACGATTTTGTGATGATTATAAGGAACGAGGCAAATAAACTGACACAAAAGAGGTGTCTCTGATTATTATCGCTCAGTCATACCAAGATCGTACTATCTTTAAGCTCTGTGGATAATGTCAATATATCCCTATTTACTTCACTTATTTATCTATATTTGATAGTTATTCGCCTCAGGCTCAGTGAATATTGTTGAATAATCCTCGTGACGAAGTCGAGTCTGAGGCGAATAGTTGTTTTAGTATAATTGCGAATTATTGTTTTAGTATAATTGCGAATTATTGTTTTAGTATAATTGCGAATTATTGTTTTAGTATAATTGCGAATTATTGTTTTAGTACAATTGCTCAGGTGCTTCCGATTTCTGATGTAAATTCGTTTAGTTTTTGAAACCATTCTGTTAGAATTGTTTTGAGTACTCGTATCGAAATTAGCAGCCACTTTCCATTAGAATTTGACGGGTTTATTCAATTAAATCAGCAAAAACTACATACCTTTCTTTTGAAAAGTGTTACTCTAAACATATTATCATCTTTTGTGCTCTTCAGAGTTATATTTTCTTCTATTGCGTTTATCACTCTCTGTGTGACATTGACAAAACGCGCGCGAAGCGTCCATTTTGAAATCTAGCACCCTCGTTATTGTCACCTCGCGCAAGATAATTATTATAGCGATAAAAAGCGAAATTCACGACCAATCAGAGATCGCGCATCTCTTTAACCACTGGAGCAATTATACTATAAAACTTTACTTGTTATATGTACATCTGCTTCATCACATTATAATTTTCATTCGACGATGTTCGCCTCGCATTTGTCCACAGAAAATTTGTCCATGATGCAGTAAAACCCTATTTTGTAGCTTTTTAGTAATAGTTAAATTTATCTATTAATGTGTTTTTTAGGAGTTACTTTCTCAGAATGGAAAGCTAAGGATGGCGAGTGCAAAAAGTGTGACGGAGGAGGTGGACCATTTATGATTGAAAGTGTATGTAAGGAGAAAGAGCACAGCTGTCGGGGACAAAAGAACAAGTCTAAAGAATCAATGGATTGTGCCAAGTATTGCTCCTCCTCAGCTTCAGCTCAGGGTAGGAACGGATAAAATTCTATGAAAATTTAGGGATCTATAACCGCTTCAAGGAAAACATCACTTATTCTGCATTAACGACCATAACTTCGATTGAATCTTTGTAAATTAAATTTTGTGGCAATTCGATTTCTGTAGTATGGTTCCTAAGTAACTGAATGACACTAGCATTAAAATATATACTTTTTGTTTTATTTTTCATCAGCCCATTGTATGGAAACAAATAGCTACGAATCTATCGACAGCACTAACAATAAGATACTACTTACAATACTAATCATAACCATTACAATTTCCCCAAATGTGATTGGTGCATTTGCTGCTTTATTCTTCACTAATCATTCCGCACAGTTGTAATTGGACAGTTGGCTGTAATCGGACACCTGTGATCGGACAGTTGAATCACAGAATTGATTACATTAACCATAGCAACAATCACTTATCCTAAAAAAAAAACTGGGGAATTTCCAAAATGGAGGAATTTTTTCCTTTAAACACTATCTCTACCGGAGATTTTTGTCCAAAATGCATTTGTTTTCCTTTGGGGGTGAAATTGTACCAATCATGATTAATCGGTAACAGGACTTCTTGTCGTCAAATTCTGTCAGTAATCATACTCGTGATTGACAAATCGGACTCCCGCTTCGCGGTCGCCCGGTTTTGTCAATCACTCGCATGATTACAGACAGAACTGGACTACACCCGATCCTATTACCATTATTCATTGAATGTTACGTTAGTTACATCAGCAACCTTTTTATTTCTTTTTTATTACACTTTATTAACCAGAGGAGGAAATAAAATGGAGAAAAAAATGACTAGATCTTTTGTTTTTCATTCTTACCCCTAGCAAAACTATGTGACAGTGCAGCAAATATATAATGTAAAAAAAGAGGTATCACTATTTTTATTATTCATTTGTTTATGTATTAACCATTTTGTTTCTTTATTCATTCATTTTCAGTGGTCGCTGCGGTTTCCAACCTTATTCTGGCCATGTGGATCTCTATTTCTTACAAGTAATGATAAGTTTTTCATAATTAAATTCATGTCCATAGACATCTAGTGGAATAGTATGTGACGTATTGTATTTCGCTTAAACTAATTTTAATTTTCTGTTTGTTTTTACAGCTTTTAGCACGTACTGAGAGGTCTTGAAGTATGGATTCAATAAAAAAAAAAACTCGAAGTTTAAAGTCCAGTAGTATTTTCTTTTGTTTTTATGCGTGGAATACTTTTGTCTAGACTGTTCGAGTATATATCGAAGATATAGTACTTAGTAAAGTGTACCATTTTACTGCTATAGAAAAAGATTGCTATTATCGGTTGTTTTAGGTAAGACAGATAATTGTAGGTTAGCAATGGTTTGTCATTAAAAGTCTTCAAGACAAATTCAGTGTCAAGTTCTCACAGTTTCTACCTAAAGAAGATAGACCTTCGAGCAATTCTACTTTATTTTGTTTCCATTCGAATGCTGTCTATTCAATATAAGATCATATAAAAATATCTCTGCGATAAGCGGGCAAGGAAATTGTCCACTGATATCACTTCGTTGAGCATTTTGGTGCATCGTGTTTTGCGGGCTAAAGTTGAGCTTTTGGCAGGCTAAAGGATATTTTAGCTCGTGCGCTCGCTTTATTTGTTCAAACTTGTCGTCATTTTTCATTTTTGGCTTTTAAAGCGATAATGATAATAACAATACAGTTTATTTTCTTGGGCATAAATATGTTTTAGGCCCTTCTCACAGCTCATTTTAATCCTCGCCTAGCAGCTCGGGATAAAATGACTCTGAGTTGGGTCCAAAACATTTTTCAGTATGCCCTCCAACACAAACGCTAATGTTTTATACTTTTTAAATTATATACTGGCGGGTGCTTTCCCCGAATTTTTTCCAATTTATAAAGCTCATTATAGAAAATATAGATCATAACAAAATAGCAAGAACAACAATAACAATAACATCAAACTTCTAACAGTTCACTGATCGTTTTTGTGGATGATTTACACTTACCACATGGGGGAAAATCACACCTGTTTGAAGCACCGTTTTTGACAAATAAACTAGAAACACTGATTTCGTGTCCCTTACATATTCTTTTTATAAAATCAAGTCCATGCACTGAAAACTGAGAGTTATCTAAAGAAGCTACATATGTGAATAAACTAACATAAGCTACGACTTGCCAAATTAAAATCGCAGTCCGACTGTTCTAAACCATAATTTTTTTGTTCCTTTTTTTTTTTTGCGAAGCGTTATATGTTTTGAAGTTTAGTAAATTAAAGGGTTTCGTTTGTTTAGAGAAGTTGGTGGATGATTGGTATAAAAACACATTAATGCTGCAAATTGTCAGTAAATTATTCATGGCTTCCTGTCACGCAGACAGTTTTAATTGATCTCAGAAGATCTTGTTTAAATGATTTTCATACTCATGGTACAAATGAAAAAATACAGACTTTCATAATTTCGTGCATTTATAAGTTCATAATTTTATAATTTCAGCATCGTCATACGCCTTTATTTTGCGTAATTACGGTTTTAAAGATGTACTTAAACAATCGAATCTTTGGAGCAATCTTAGTAAACATAATTCTTTTATTCAAGCGAGCAAAGTCTCAACATTTTTATCATGATAAATTTGAATCTGTCTCTGACTCAAAGATTTGTTCAGCGTTTAATTTTAATCATGAATATTTTTGTTCAACCCACGCAGTAGGATTTACGGATTCAAAACGCCAGTGAGCGGTTTCATTAAAAGTCGCGGTAACAGGCTTTCCATCACCTCTTATAAGGCCTCTTATCGCCGTCTGTTTGGCCAGCGAGCAGGCTCCCGTGTTTGGTTCTCGCCTTGCGGCCCCTTTCCGAGCACAGCCGACTATCGCTACATCGACATGCGGAAAAAGTTATTGAAACCTCTTATTTGTCCGGAATATTCACTGTACTCTTGCCAAAAGCTACAACTATAGCCACCGTATTCTGGGGAAAATTTTTTTAAAATCGCCTTAGGTTTGATTAATACTTCAAAAGTCTTGCTAAAAGCTACAACTTCTTAAAATGAAAAGACAGATAGCAAGATTTTACATTACAATATATTGGTCCGCCCCTATTCCGGGGAAAATTTTTTTTATCGCCTTATGATTGATTAATGCTTCCAAAGATTACTTTTCTTTATTTTGAAACATTTCTCATATCTCGTTTTTCAATGATTTCTGATAAGGAATGCCGTTTGCACTTGTTGAGATTCTCACGGAGATCTGCCGTTAGCATCAGAATCTAAAATCTTTTGTTCAAAATACGGAGAAGGGTTTTATGTTTAAGAGAAAATTCATCATTATCGCAAACTCCTTTTTGCATTTGAAAACATGAATACAACTCCTTTGCCGGCAGACAGACCCCAAGAACGCGAGCAGCACGGCAAAATTTGTCAATCGATGGAGAAAATTCGCCAGAAGTTTCTACATCTTTTCCAGAGTCTTGAATAACACATTCTTCTTGCGTAGGATCATCCGATTTTGTGGCTTTATTTGACACCAAAGATTCTTTCTTGTTCTCATATTTATCCTGACACGCGTTCGCACATTTACTGTGTATGCTTTGCGATCGTTTATGAGCAATCTCCATTTCATTTGCATAGCATACTTCTCGAATTTTGAAAGGGTTTTTCCGTTCGATATCAATTTTTGACGCAGGAGCAACGTCTATGAAAGTAGGAGTTGCACTCGTCTTTTGGTGATTATCGCAGCTACTCTGAGGCAATATTTCCAAGGTGTTTTTCTGTAATCTAACATCTTCGTTTGCAGGGAAGATCGCAGCATTTCCTTTTCGGCGAGTGCCTAAGTTAGGCATTCCTAAATTGTAGCTGTACCTGTAAATATGCTTGTTGAACGTTGAAATCTGCGTCTTTTGGGGTGTTTCCTCACTTCTTTGTTTGAGCGGAAGACTCTTTGATGACGGCTTCATACCAACTTTAGTTTCGCATTACCACCGAAGGAGGGCTGATACCCGCAAAATTTCTACATGCCGTAGAGAAAATCCTCAAATAAACAGGTCGTTTTTATAAATTTAGTTAGGCTCGAATTATAAACATCCTCCCTTCATCCGTCATTGTTCTTTCCAAGTACCTGTGAGCCTAAAACCGAATAAAATCTCGCCATTTTTCTGTAGGTAAGTATTATCGTCTGCCATACTAAAATCTTATTCTATTTTTCCTTTGTTCGCTTTGGGAGTCTTGCAGGTGCAACATCCAGTATTCATTGACGTATGGCAATCGATTTTAGTGAAGTGTAAATTACAGCTCGAGACAATGTCTAGATAATTATCAGATTGCCATTTTGTTTGATATGCCTTAAGGCCAAACGTTGAAATGAGAAATGATACAACTACTTCACCACGATCTATTCATCTTAAGAAAAGAAAAGATTTTATGAGAACGACAACTAAACAGTTTTTTCCCAAATCTCAGCGTTGATGTTAAAATTTCTCCGTGTTTTGCAGAATTAATGCCTGTAATAAGATGTTTAGGTGAGTGATTACGCACGCAATTTGAAGTTTAATAGTCTAGAAAACGACTTCCCTCGAGATTGATTGCATTCTAAAAGTCTTGAGAACTGTAGGGAATCAGAAATGGCGACAATTCTTGCATTTTGAGATGTAACCGGCGCCTTCAAACAATATCTTATCAGCTCTAGACGAACCAATAAGCCCAAGAAACTTACGTGGCTGGGGTAGGGAAATAGGTTAGTAAAATTTTCCCTATTTCTTAGCTTGGATAAAACCGAAATTTAAGGCAATGCTGCTCTTTTTTGCACATTAGGAATCTCAGGGAGGGACTAAAAATAATCGTTCAATGGATAGCTAAACGACTCCTTGCCCCTACCCTCTTCTGAACTGGAGTCAAATAAATTTTTGCGATGTTCATGTGTTCGTTTCTTTTGCTATCGGAGGCGGCTCTGCAGCACATGCAGAGCGCAAGCGGATCCCATTGTCATGTGCTGGTCCGTAAGCGCGTAACGTTGTTGTGCTTAGGAGCGAACCCAGTTCAATCAAACACAAATAATCCATGGTCAAACTGGTCAAAAAAGTGATTTAATTAACTCTCAGGTTTAAAATAGAACAATGAATGGTTGAAGAGAGGTGTATTTATAACCAGGCAAAGTGAGGTAGAATTGTTTATATGCTGTTTTAATAGCGGCACGTGTAGCAAGCAAGCGGAGTCTCTTTTGTCATGCGTATCAAGAAATGGCCCATTGTTCCGGGTCAACTTTTCCAAACAAAAGTCCTGAGTAATTGGTAGTCCTGAGGGATTTTGGCCGAAGGGAGGCGGAAAAGCTCGTAACTGAACGAGAAAATTATAGGAGTGACAATTTTGCTGCACTGGGGGAGTGGGTAGTGTAAATATGAACTAGTAAAATCAATCTCCATCGGTGTACCCAGGGGTAGACTTGACCCTCGTTTAGCGCATCGAGCCAAAGGTTCGCAAATTCAGAAATAATTAAATTTATCCGTATTGCAGTGACTCATTTAAACCACCTCTCTCTATATGTAAGTCAAGTCGCCTGGTTTTTATCAGTCAGTTTTGTCAACGTACAAAAATACATTTTTTGGTCTTACTACTGATGTTAAATACAATCGAAAGTGACGTTTTTCTGTGGAGAGCCTCGAGGCGATTGAAGACCTTGTTTCTGGCGCACAGCTGTTTTCAAACGAGGCATTTTTTACGGTCTTTTTAAGGACAGGAGTCTATGAGGAAACGGTTGCTAGATCCTTCTCCCTTATAACTCTACTTTTGGTGTGCTGTAGAGGGAAAATGGAGGAAAATTAATACTGCCTTCATTTACGGATTTTTCCTATCTGATAACAGGAATTTAGGATAATTTTATATGTCTCAATTCCGCGCTCAGATATTCCCTCATGATTTCAGCTGAGATAAAGGAGGTTAACATATAAAATGCTTGGGAAAAGACAGATTTGAGTAAAGTTTTTAATAGTTTTTGTTGATGTCGCTGTTACCGCTGTTATATTTTAAATTCCTTTTTTGTATAAAAAGGCCCTAGATAAATAGCTCCAGCCCTCTCCCTCCCAAAAACGGAAAAAAAAAAAAGTTGAAACAAGAACAAAAATTGGTGGCATCGAGCATCACTTGTCTTTTGTAGAGAGCATTTTCGATATTATTTTAGGGGAGAGAACAAAAGCCATTAATAAAAGCTATACGCAAATTTTTCTCAAGTTCCTTTTCTATTTCATGATCGATAAGTCATAAAAAAAAAATTCATTCTTCTTTATAAACCTTTTTCTCTTCCTTCATTATACAGGCCCTTGAAAATTCAGATTTTCCTACTTGAGTTTACACGATCGCCTTTGGTTATTTAGACCGATTATCATAGAAAGAGGAAATTTATACTAATTTCAATTGAGACAAGCCATCTTTATCTGGCATCACGCAACAGATTCATACATGGGGTGATGTATGAATAAATTCAGTATACATTGGAAATAGTAAACTTAGATTAAAAAATGTCAAACTCTATATTTCCCAAACCAGAAATATCGAAATAATCGGCAATTTAACGGTCGACAGATGCCACCTGCTGTTGAGGTGAGTACCTTTAAACTAATCATTGAACATGTTTGTGCTAATAACTTTCTCTTAGACTTGCACAATACGCGATTTTAACTTTTGATAGATAAGCTATGTTTATGGACGAATATACAACAAAAAATTGTAACTATTCTTTACCATATGTCAGTACTGTTCTCTTGTAAAAATAATTTTTCAGATATGATTGAGAGCGGTTAAAATGTGCTTCCGTACGATGCAGAAAGATCAAATTTCGGCCTAGTAAAACGCGGGAAAATTGAACATAACATAGCGTCATGCTTAAATGTTATTGAGAGAACAGAGATGGGAATGTAACTATTTTAAATGAAGTAATTCGTATTTGCCGAAGTTTTTAGTCGTTTTGCATCTAATATCCAATTTTCTGAATAAGAAACGCTAAAAAAACTTTCGTTAAATACCCTTTAATTTTTCAAAAATGAGTTCCAATCATGGGTAGATGTTGAATGTCGGATTTTGACTTAGTCTTTGCTAGTTGTTGTAACTTTAACTCTTTTTGTATCAGTAAAATAGAATAGGAGAGATATATAAATGAAGTTGTACTCATAAGTGAATCGAAGGATAAAAAAATGATTCGCCGTCTGCGACTCACCTTTTCCAAAAGTGAAGTTAGTCAATAATGCCGTCCAGGTTAAGAACATGAAAAATGAACAAATTCCATGCCTTCTTCAAGGTAACGGTTTTCTGTTTCTACCACGCGCGTATGACACAAGTTTTAAGTTGATCGCTAGCTCCAAGCAGTGGATTAAGCTTCCCAAATCGACCTGTCGTTATGAACGAAACCGTATTATGAAAATAAATTTTAAAAAAATGCTTGCAGTTGTCAGTTCCATGTGGAAATTAATGCAAATGACGCAAATGGATGTTATCCGCTTCGCTCGATGGAGAGAATTGGATCTCTTAGGAATATCTTCACATGTTAACATACGTATTAGACACCGAAATTAGTACTTTGACCAAGATTGTAAAAAAAAAATTCTTTTAGGTCCAATTGACGGCGAAAAACGCTAGGAAAAGCAGATACTTAGAGTGTGCTGGCTGTAAGTGCGCAACAAACTTCCGTATTAACTCTGATTATGACTGTTGAATTTTCGAGCGAACCCAGAGCAAACAAGCACTAACCCATGGTCAAAGTGATCAGTTAAAAGTGATTCGATTTACTTAAAGAAATGAAAACACAGGCAAACGAAGCAAAGTAAGATTTTAAAGGTTTGTGATGTTTAACAGCGGCACGTGGAGCACGCACGCGAAACTTCTATTGTCATGTGCCGGCCACAAGTGGGTAACGAACGTCTGTACATATGCTAATGCTCTGTTGTATTTGTGAGCAAACTCAGAGGAAACAAAATTCACCATAGTCGAACTGTCTAGTTAGATGATTCGATTTTCTCACAGGAATTAAAAATCAATATTTCAACGACCGAAAAAGGTTGATTTATTAGCCAGGCAAAGTGAGGCAAAATATCACTCGAGAGGTTTATGCGTTGTTTTAATAGCGAAATAAATCATTCCAATTTTAGATACTTTGACCTGATCAATTTTTCTTTAAACCAAGGTTTAAACTGAAGACCAATCAAAATGGTGTTTTCTGATTGACAGACTTGTTTAATTTCGGTCACTGTAACTAAAAGCCTGTCGATGTTGTTCTAAGAAAAGGTCTCTCCGATTTTATTTCATGGCTATCGACCACTCGCGACTAGACATAGTGGTTTTACAATTCTAGTGTTAAATAAGCAAGTCCACGAGAAGTTTCAATGTGAAATATTACATGTTCTCGTTTTCTGAATACATGTGTGTCGCAACATACTTGGTCTCACCGCCCGACTGCCATTTCAGGGGGCTCTCTCTCAAGCATTTATGTTTCCTTTTGTCATAGCGGAGAAAGTATGACCGGAGAAGGAACCGCTCGAGCTATCAACTTGTGCAAGAAATCTTCGACCGAGATTTGAAACTGGCACTTTTTATTGTTAAACAAATTAAAAAATACAGTAGGATCTGAGTTTTTTGTTCTTAATAGTTAATAAATAAGGCCTTAAGGTGTAAGTTAATGTAGGTGCGGGATTGCCTCAGGTCTGTTCCGATGATGTCTTTAGTTTAGAATCCGTAGTGTCCATGGCTTGCTCTGAAGAATCTTAAAAGAGAGAACAAGCGCACCGTAACAACGAGATTACAACATAGTTAAAAGAGGAAGAGAAAACAGCCAGCAGAGTTTGCTTGTTGTGTAAACAATGTGAATGAGACATGGTTTGATGCTACTCTGGTTCAAAGATTTAATGAATGTAACCGAGATGTTACAATTCATAGACCCAACGTTTCGATGTAACTGTCTCGTGCCTTCATCAGGAGTGATCTAATCGCTGTAACAAGAGGCCTGTTATATGTTCACTAATTAGCTGCCCTTTTTTCTGAGAGGAGTAAATAGGTGATATGTACTCATCTGCCATCATCACGATTTAAAGGAAGGCGGGCGGAGTTGATATGCCAGGCTTCCAAACAAAGGCACTGGTGGTAACGTCGATTAATCGTGATAAGCTGGTAAGATTAGTGAATGTGCGCACAAAATGTTACATAGTGGTGACGGCTTATATTCACGTTTTCACAGCTTACCTAAAATTCGTAAACCGGGAATTCCATTGATAATTATTACTAATTCTCCGACTGAAGCAATTTCTTGTTATCTTGTGAGAATTTCGTTGCCTGTTGTTGGGAGTACTGATTACACTGTCAAAAATTCCTGCGAATTTGCGGATTTCATCAGAGACAAAACTCTTAACGCTGGTGAAAAATTGGTATCTTTCGACGTTGTTTCGCTCTCCACTAAAATCCCACTTGATCTTGTCGTTAAAATTGCGGAGGAGAGACTCAGAGAAGACGCTTCCCTAGGACAAAGAACTTCTTTGCCTGTGGAGGATATAACTCATCTGGTGTCTTTTTGCCACAAAACCACGCAATTTGCATACAACGGTACTTACTATCAACTGGTTTTTGGTACAGCTATGGGTTCACCCGTCTCTGCTGTCATTGCTAATATGGTTATGGAAGACGTGAAAAAAAAGGCGTTAGCCCTTTTTCTGGAAATGACATGTCGATGATGTTATTTCTGCGGTATCCGGAAATGAGGCGGAACGCCTCCAATCCATTTGAATTCAGTGAAGCCGTCTATCCAATTCACCCATGTGCGTAAATAGGATAAACACTTGCCCTCTCTTGATTTAAATGTGTGCGGGGCGGTACAGGGAAATTTAGAGATAAGTGTTTATCGTAAACCCACTTACACCGACGAATACCTCACTTTCGACTCACACCATCCTATTTGCCATAGAAAGTCTGTAGCCAAAGTAGCGTCAAACCATGTCTGATTGTCTACCTGTTTGTCTTGTGAACTTTATTACATGCAAAGTGAATGATTAAAAGGAAAATAATTTGAAGGAAGAAATGATTACAAATAACACGACAAACACAAAGAAAAGAGAAACGAATGTAAAGGTACGCAGTTCAGCACAAGTAAGATATCAAAAACCACAAAATCACTCACCGGTGAGAGCTTCAGGACCGCTCTTATCGCTAACAGTGTTTCCTTCAGATTTCTGCTGCTGATTTGACGTAAGATTGGGTACCAGTCCGACGCCGATAGCAGCACGTAAACCTCCAAGCGACGTGACATCTTCTGGACAAGCCTACAAAGATTTAGAAAAGTAAAATTGAGAACAATTTTAAGAACTTTATTGTTAAGTGAAGCATTCGCTGCCATTAAAAATAAAAGAGGGAGAAAAACATGCTAAAAATTTCGGGAGTTATTAACGTGGATTGTTCAAAGAAGCAAACTCATGAAGGAAATGGTGTTTGCTACCTACATCAGCCAGAACTTCTCCAAGAATACTTATCACGGAGAATTTTCTGGAACAGAATTTCTCTTTATCAGGCCTTTATAGTTCCTTATACAACTGCATCAGCCAGATCATCTGCACGAAAAAGGTTCGTCCTTAGAAGTCTCTTTGTTAAAGGACTGATATTTTCACTTCTTTGAACAAGTGAAACCTTGTAAAGGAAAACTTCGCGCTTAGACACTTGTTAGCTTAGATGCGGGCTGATGTTCCAACATCCTACTCTCAAATTCCAAACTAAACAATCACAACAACATCTGCGACAAACAGGGAACAATTTTTCTCATTTTATAGCACTTACCTGTGCAGTAAGATCTTTTAGATTCTGCGTCACGTGATCCGCTAAGTTAGATTAAAAAAAGTCGGTTAAGTACAACGTGAAGAATCTAAAACGACAATTGAATTACAAACTGGTTCTCCTTAAGCATAACCAGGTAAGAGGATAAACCAACGTTTTGTTAAACGGAAAGAGTACTTAGAGTAAAGCTGTGTCTGTGTAAAAATTTGTTGTAACGGTCAAAGGTATGAGCGGTAGTCTAGGGATAGAACTTTCTGTGGCTCAGTCCGACCTCGTTCAAGCTCTCTCTGTTTTGCTGTTGGGCAAGAAACTTCACTCACGCAGTTTCTCCGCAAAGAATTATACAAAGATTCTGGGCCGAGTAGTGCAAAGCGCTAAGACCTGTTGCTACCTGATTGGGATAAACGGGAAAATTACAAACGTATTTTAAACGACATCTCTGTGCACTTTTTCGAAACTAGTTGAAAAAAAAAAAGCAAAAAAAGGGAAATCATCTTCTCACCTAAAAGCTTTTCTTTTGAGGATGGTCTAACGGCTGCCTCAGGGGTGGACCCTGCGGGGCCATCTGGTCTGTGACTTAGTCGGGCACTTTGTACCTCTTGCAGATCATCTAACAGTTTGCCAGTGGCGTGTAATTTGTCCGAAAGTAAAGAGCTAGAGGCCAGATATGATATTTATTAGAAAAAGTCTGCTATAAGTTGTGCGAGAAAAAAATGATAAACAAATTCACGACTTAAGCGGTGAATGGAAACACACCTTAATGACTCACTGCTTGACAAATCTGAAGGAAGAGAATGAAGAAAAGGAAAAAAACTCCCTATCAGCCACTTCATAGTCGCTCGCCTTATGCTAATTTAATATTAATAATCGTATAATAATCGTAAATTTCAGCAACAATATATTCTTTGTACCTGGGGAATTTAGAAAAGATACATCGATCCCTTCGTCCGCAAGACTCAGGAGAGATTGGAAATCAATTTTGGGCGCACCTCCTGTGGTGGAAAAAAAGAGAAAAAAAGAGTTTAGTAAAAGTGTGAGCGGATGAAAACAGCTGCAAGTAAATAGTTCAGAAATAAACAATTCAAACTACTAATGAGATGCAAACATACCAGAAGACGAAGAATCTGAAGTAGAAGTTGCTAAAGTAGCCTGTAGAATAAAAAAATGAATGTAAGTTTCGGTACTCCCTTATGGTGTCACTATTGTCTATCTATCTTTTTACTCATTTAATTAAAACTATTTTTTAATCTGTCTATTGTCACGATTATCACGTTATAGCACGTTTCTTTGTTAACTAAGTTCACGTAAGGCCATGTGAACAATAGAAGCGAACGGTTTCACCAGTCCAACAGTTTGTTTCAAGTTTTCCTTGATGACGTGTTCCGTTTACTTTCGTCTGCCTTAAAATGGCGATATTCAAATCCTGTCTTGAACATCTACGTACTTACAGTAAGGCGTATGTATAAACAATAGCCGGCGGTGGGTGCAAAATGAGGAAAAAAAAAAAAAAAAAGACTACCTCACATTGGCGCGTTGTAATTATTACAGTGAACAGCGAAGAAATATGATTGGCGAGGTACGTGTGCGTTTAACTAATATCGGAATGCAATTGGGAATTTAATTGTACGTGCGACAGTTTGACAAGAAACAATAAAAAGAAAACATATAGACTTGTCTCAATACGGTAGGAAATCGGTTGGAACAACAGGTTTGTTGAAGCAGAAGGTAAACTGGTGAAACACTAAATAACCAGATTAAAGCAGTACCTAGAAATTAATAATAATCAATCTTTTAACATAAGTGAGCACAAGTTGTTTGCGAACTAGAGACAAAAAAAGTTACCATACCTTAGAATTAACACTTGTTTCAGCGGTGGAAACAGCGACTGTCTTATTGACGTCTTGGCTTTTCTGAAGTGAAACAACAGGCAAATGTTCAAATTTAAAAAAGCTCTAAGCCTAAAAAGATAGAATGCATTTAATGCTACCATTATATGCGACAGAATGTAAGGGAAAGGATTTAATTAAGTTGGTAAGTAAACAAGATTTTGGAGTATGTGTTTGGACGCAGTAATACTACGTGACAACCCTACGTGAACTGATGGTAAATCGTAGCCCAAAGAGTGACTAGCATTTAATTTCTCCCAACAATACCATCCTTGAGTGAAGAATTTTGGTCAAAAGAATAAAGAAAATGATCATCAACTAAAGCAGCCCTTGATTATTAAAAAAATTCTCTTTGCCGCAGCTGAGGAAATGTATAGAGAAGAGTATGGTGAATATGCAAACTGATGTCAGGGTGTAATGGGTAAAGGCTCATCGCTGCTTATCTCTACACAGGATTTTTCTCATTTTTTCAGTCCTAATTGATTGATATTAGCATCGGCTATAAACCGTAGAAGCATTTAAATGCACCTCGCTTGAAGAAACTGTAACCACCGATTTTTGCTCACTGTTTTGATTCTCTTTAGCTTGTTTTTCTTCCTCGGCCTTCTCTTTCTGAGAAAAAAAAAAGAAATGAATGGAAATAAATTAGTAAAAAATACATGCAAGGAGAGGACAAATTACAACTCGGCGACTATGCGTCTAGTGACCAACTTTCGCACAGCTCGCTAAGTCTTACCTCAGCAATATGTTTCACGTATTTAGAATGTGCTCCTTCGGTCAGAACGTCCAGCAGCCTATCCACAGCTTCATGTGAGAAAGAGGAAGCGTCCTTGACAAAGGCTTGAAGACTGCACATCGAAAAAAAAAATTGTAAACTTGTTAAAAAAAAATTCTCCTTGTTAGCATCTTTCGAAATGTATAGAGTACAGCATGGAGGAAATGCAAAGTGAAGTTATGGTGTAAGGGTTAAGAAAAGGAGTGCCCGAGATCTCAGTATTAAAACCGAGGTCATATCCTCGCCTTCTCACCTTTTGGCGTAATGTATACCAGTGTCATCACCATAGGTGCTGTAAAGCAAGTCTGAGTGTTCTTTTGTTATTGTGGCTCTGGAAGAATCGTACGTGGGAGCGAACGAGCCATACGGTCCATACATCAAGTATGAAACTAAAACGAAAAAGAGGTGTCCAGGACTATCAACACACAAGACTGATAAAATAATACAACGATCAGAATAAAGAAAATCATCAACTTTGGAATAGTGTTTGATCTAGCACAAAAATTCTCACAGCTAATAAATGTATCGTGGACAGTGTGAAGAAGTGATCTTTACATTTTGAGAAAGGGTTAAAAAAGCAAAAAGAAAAAAAAAAAAAAAAAAAAAAAAAAAAAAGAAAATCGAAGTAGGTACGGGCGCATTCGTACCCGGTGTGGCCTTGTTTCTTTTGTCTTCCTTGAAGCCAGCGGTCGTGTGTGAGCCATTGACGACTTTGCCAAGCTGTGTTCCTAGATTAACGTTAAGATATTCTGGAACTGAAACAGCAAAGGAAATGAACAAACAAGTTAGGGCGTGATAACTTTTTAGTGATTTTTCTTTCGTAAAAATAGGTTTTCAAGGATGGTTGATACTGGCATCAGATGCTGTACCTTCAGAGTCCACTGGGTTTACTACAGCTAAAGTCGTAGTTCCGTCTTTGTCTCGACGTAGAAAACCGACCTGTAAATCACCACAAACGTTTACAAGTAGAGGAAAAATTCTACTAACAGTATAACAATAAAGAGACAGTCACAAGGGGGATAGTCAATACAGTATTGTGCAAAAGTAATGCAAACGAAATGCGCAAATTTCGTTCTTTGCTCTTTAAAGCGACACTTCCCTATAGTCAATCTTAGTTATCTTCCAGCTGTTGGGGTCAGGGATGGTGATCACCGTTCTTCTTATAGCGAGGACACGTTACAGAGGCTGGCACATTATCTGTTCAGCATACCTTACTATTGGCATGTTTTGCCTCCAACTCAGCTGCCATACGTTTTGATGCTTCCTGAACTTGAGCCAGAATTTTTCTACTAGCAGAGGTGTGCTTTGAATCACTCCTGGATAAAAATAGAGAGTTAAATATACCACAACCACCTTTTCAAAAACTAGAGATATGTTAACTCCCTTATTCTTGAAAGACGACCGACAGACAGACAGACAGACAGACAGACAGACAGACAGACAGACCAGTAGACAGCCAGACCAACAGACATACAGAGTGACAGACCTAGAGACTGATAGACCGACCAGCAGACAAACAGAATGATCCACCCCTCTTCTTCAGTAAGGAGTACCAGAAACTGACTGGAAGGATATAAGCAAAAAAAAAAATTGTGTTACCTCGGCTTGGTCCTTTTTGTTGACTGTGGGACATGGTTTTCCTCTGTGTCTACTGTATCAACGTCAATTGGTTCATCTGAGCCACGCCCATCTGATTCATTACCCTCATAGTCTGGTACAGAAAACCCAATACTGTGATACATATTTCTCACTTTCTCCTGTCAATTAAAATAAAAAAACAGAAGTTGTGTACAAACACTAAAGTAATGAACTGAGTTATGAAGGAAGAGTTTTCAATGTTTCAAACTGCTGGAATTCCTATTTTAAAAGTGGATTCTAACATAACTGACTCTGATTTCCATAAAGAAAGCTTAAGCTTAGCTGTCCTTTCACCCTATGTTTTCAAAATAGTATAAAAAATGCATAATCATGCAGTGTACACTGTAGGTATTTGCTGAATATGCACATGTATATCACATGGAAATAAAAAAAGAATGAATTTGTTGAATTAATACATTTGAATGAATAAATGCAAAAATGAATAAGCAAAAGAAAACTGCAGGAAACCATGAAATGAAGGATAGGACAAAAGATTTACAAAGGAACCAAAACTGAAAGAATACAGGGAAAAATCTGGAATTAAAAAAAACTGTGAAAAGAGCCAGTAAATCAGTGTGGATGTATTAATAAGCATTATCTGGCAATAATTATGAAGAAAAAGTTCCATAATGTTAAAAAACTTACAGGCGACAAAAGTTTAGATCCTGTTTGAAGTAGCTTTTTAGCTGCTTTGTAGTAAATTGTCTCAGGTGCATTGTAAACCATTGCATTGTTACACATCAAGTAGAAATCATCCTGCAAGAGAAACATGGGCAAGTCTGTATTGGAGCCAACTGGACTGTTTCCATACCAAGATTGTTACTACTCCCCCCTGTATGGGATGCTAGCTCATCACAAGGTTACTCCTAGCATTTCATCAGGCTTCCCTGAAAATTTGACAATACCCATTTATACTCCTGGGTGGAAAGAGGCTCTATGGGAGTGAAGTGTTTCGTCCAAAAACACAACAACATGCCTCAAGTGGTTCTCGAACTCAGACCTCTCAACTGGGAGTCCAGCATACTGACCACTCAAGGCCATCTTGTCTCCTTCATAAGAGAAGTACATTTTATTAAGAATAACAAATTTCAATTCTGGCAAACATGCACAACAGAGTCAATTTCTCAAACGTTGTTTTTTTTACTCACCCTAAACTGCTCAATAGAAAGATAATCATTGGAATCAATCTTGTATTTCATGGAGCTGAAGTCCATTGGGTGTGTGATAATGTTAGAATACCCTGGAGCAATGGTATCATTCACAGGGTAAGCAAAGAATCCCTGGGTATCTTTCCTGTGAAGAGCAAAATATTATTTTGTTACACAGTTATTTGTAATGATTTTTAGACACATACCTTAAATCCCGTAAAACATGGATCTGAAAACCCTTGATTGTACTTGGAGTTTTGAATGATTTTCAAAGGCAAGAAACAGGTAGCTATCCATGTAAGACAAAGTACCAGGCTGATATACATCACAAAAAAGTATGGATAAGCCTCTGCCAAATGTTTATTTTTGTAAACGAGATAAGGGGCACAGTTAAGGGTATTCCACATGTCATTACACTTACAGAATAAGACTAGTATTTTGATCATTAAGATTCCACATGGTAACCGGACATATCGCACAAAAGACTTTTCGCACAAGTCTTTTAGCACAAGTTTTGGACCGTTCGCACAATTCTTAGTGGTCATTTCGCACAATAATTATAAGTGAGAAACATCAATATAAAAGGTATACTGATTGATACTGATAAGACATTTCACCTTCACAAGATACTACTACTCTTGACCGAGTACCGAGTTAAAATATGCATAATTCGTCGGGTAACATGAACGTGAACTTGAATTTTATATATTTACACAGAAATTTTATAAATAGGTCTTTTGTCCTTTTAAATAAAAAGTGAAACAGTTTGCAGGTTTTTACTTTGACTTCAGAGGAGGGAAGATTGGTGACCATTATACTTTCGAAATCAACATGGCGTCCTAACGTCATCATGTTCGTATGTTTGTAGGGGATGATGTACTGTCAAAACTAAAAGGTTTTTTGTTCAACAAAGGAAAAGAAATAGAAGTAATCATTCCAATAGGGAGTTCTTTACATTTTCATAGAGAGAAAGATTTGTTCCTTTCTTGAAGTAAGAAGTAGTGATTGTCTTCACAAGCGTTTCGATCTAGTTGAAGTTATTACGTAAATAAAAGTCTACGTTCTCGCCATTGGATCTTATTGAAAGTGACATGTGAAGGTGAAATGTCTCATCAGTATCAATTAGTATACCTTTTATACTGATGTTTCTCACTTATAATTATTGTGCGAAATGACCACTAAGAATTGTGCGAACGGTCCAAAACTTGTGCTAAAAGACTTGTGCAAAAAGTCTTTTGTGCGAAATGTCCTGTATTCTTCCACATAGATCCATGAAAGCTTATTTGCCTGTCTTGACATACACACACTTGCACCCCAATAGTTCATTATCAAGGAATCAACAACTAAGCATTGGCTGACCTCTGAAGGGTGCGATGTACATTTTCCAAACATAGCTGCAATGGTGAGATCTCTGGTTCTCGTATATGACCTTTAAAATAAAATTTTAGGAAAAGATAGCAGAATTTCAGATACAACTGCACAAACCTTTTAGTAATTTCCTTAATATACAATCAAATCAGGTCAAAAATTAGCATCCATCCATCTCTGCTCCATTAAAATCTATCAAATGATCAAAAGTTGGATGAAGTATCCATGATACCTTGCTAATGAGCTTAAAGTACACTTAAATTCCATTTTGCTTTTGTTAGACGGACAGGTAAATGAATGATGAATTGGCACCATAATTTCAGATGATGTTATCACCTACACTGAATAATAATTAATAAAAAATAATCTAACTTACCACTCACTTTTTTAACCTCTGGACTGTTCCTAAAACAAATCAAATAAGGTTACAAAATGTAGTAAGGACTTAATCCCTCAAAAAAATAATACTCAACAAAAAATAAGCAACCATATTCACTTCACTTGTTGATACCTGATTGGTGGTTCAATTGGTTTAATGTAGATTTTCTTTATGGGTCTCTCAGCCTCATTGACACTGCTACTTTCTCCTTCCATCTCTTGTCTGTCTCTTTTTTTCTTTGATCTCTCATGGCCACCAACAGATGAGGGTGAAGCACAAGCCTGCAGAGATACAAATAATAACAAATCGTTCAATCCATTGCTACAATTATTTTCCAAAACTACAACACTAGGTCCTGCACAGAAGTTAAAAAAATTACATAGAGGATCTGGAGGGTGGAGTTAACCTCTTTTAAACCTTTAACTCCCAGAAGTGATCAACATGAAACTTCTCCTTATAATATCCTTACATTATCTAGCAAACGAGTAATGAGAATATTCAAACTTATTAGGTAGAAGTTATTATCTTGATCTTACACCAAATTCTCATGGCTAATTTACAAGGATATGTGAAGCAGCTAAAGGGGAGTATTAACAATCAGATCTTGGGAGTTAAATGGTTAACATTGTTACCAATAGTAAGAAAATTACATTTAATTGGGTTAAACAATGAAAATTAAAATAAACCAAAGACAAAAAGCAAAACAAAACAAAACTGAACCAACAATCAAAAACAAACAGAAAGAACTGGATTCTCAAACTAAAGGAAACTTTTATTGCTGGGTGCCTATTAGAAGAATTCTTTTAAGCTATGTCGATCCCTACAATGACTTCTGCTCGCTCACAAAACGTCTAGACTTGGTAATTATTATTTTCTTTAGTCACAACACAACACAAAACATGTGTGCTCTCTATTGGAATGTTGTAACACAATTGCTTGAATCCTCACACTAGAAGCATGATCCATCTTGGGTTTCTTTCTCTCTCTTGACGACGATCTCTTTTTCTTCTTCTTTTTGGAAGAGTGTTCTTTAGATTTCATTTTCTCTGGATTTAGCGAGGTTCTGCTCGCTAAACTTGGCGACTCTTGCTTGGCAGCGACTTTTTCTTGGTTAGTTCCAACTTTAAGAACAAGTTTGATCGGCTTCTCTCCTTTATCAGCTTTTTCTAACCTTTCTGATTTCTCTGAAAATGCGAAGACGTGGAATTGAGATTTTCTAGCTCTATGTTCAGCATGTCTCGTGAGTGGACGAATGTTCGTGATCAACAATAAAATTCGAGATTTTGTTCAAAACATGGCTTACCCTCACCGGCATCATTGCCTTTCTTGTGATGCTTTTTACTCTTGTGCTTCTTTCCCATGGTTTTTTGGTATCAAGAAACTCGTTAAATTTCCCCCCACTGGACAAAATGATGTCCAAAATTCAATACGATCCCTTACAAAGAACACTCTCCAGCCGCCATGTTGAAAATAGTATCCCATGATGCATAGTATGAGCCTTAGTCATACCCAGTCTACTCAGCAAAGCAGATGTCCTAAGTCATTATGGCGAGCAGCGAGAGGGAATTTGCCATCGTTGTTTTCGGTGCTAGTGGATTCACCGGCCAATTTGTGGTGAGAGAGGTGGCGAAGAACTGCAAGGGAAAGTTTAAGTGGGCTATTGCTGGTCGCAGTAAGGACAAACTGGAGAAGGTTTTGCAGGAGACTGCCAGCGAACTTGGTAGGTACACTGCATTTAATTTGCACAACATCCCCATAGGGTGTTGTTTTTTCAGATGGGGTAACATCATTAACGAGGGTTACTGTTGCCTTATCGATTCTTAAATCTGTAACACATTTCGTTTAAACCATCTTGGCATCATTTGGGGGTGTTTAAGACGTTTAATAATTCAGCTGGTGGGTTGGGAAATATAAAGAAGAGCAATTTTTTTTTTTTGCAAAAATGCAGGCTAGACCTTTTGGACCTGCATCGGAATTTGGACCGAATGGCACTTTTCCAATTTTTTTTTCGGTTTCATTAAAACTGACTGACTTTATAAACTACACGTGATATATATTTTTTCTTCCGTGGCTCATCACACATAAACATGGGCAGTTTCTCGTGTGTTCTAACATGCATTTGCTCCAAAGTTCAATGGAGTGAACCTTCAGGATTGACCTTTCCACTGTAGCTGTTGTGTGCCTGTGGATGTGTTGCTCACCTGACAATCACAATTTTTTTTGTGTGTGTGATTATTATTAATTATTATTGGCAGTCATGCATTTAAATTCAACAGAGAGGCTCATAATTTCTTTAAGAAAAAGTAGGGTGCAAGGTTCCAAACTCTGGAAAGATAGAGGATATAGAAGCCCTGTTCCATATATATACTTGGAGAGGTTATGATGCTCTCTGTTTAATTAAAGGGGAGATGTGTTTCATTTTAATTAATTTTAAACATGACAGTTGCTAGTGTGCAAACATAATATTCATGTTATGTATTTCTATCTCAAAGTTTTTTTATTATTACAAATTTCTAAGATACCCAAACTGCAAGTACTATTACATTGTGTAGAGTGCGCAGTAACAAATTTTTCATGAAATAATTCATTACTTTAACCCTTAACCCTTTAATTCCCAAGATCTCATTACTAATTCTCCTTACTGTCTTCAATATAGTTTGTTTTGATGTTGGTTTTGTGAATTTGGTAATGGATCAACTAATAATCCCCTAATCACTATTTTTCCTTATTCTCATCACTTGTCTGCTTGATACTGTTTTGATATTGTAAGGAGAAATTCTGTCTTGGTCACTTATGGGAGTAATACAGGGTTAAATCCCTGGGAGTGATTAGCATCCAATTTCTCTCTACAATAACACCCCTGAATCAAGCATTAAGGTCACAAGAATAAAGGATATGACCACCAACTAAAGAAGCTCTTGATTGTTAAACAAATTCTCCTTGTCAACACCTCAAGAAATGTATAGAGAAAAAGTATGGAGAATGTACCTATCGATTTTAGGGTAAAGATTTTAAAAATAATAAATAGATAACTATAGTTATTAAAGTAATTATTGTTTATTTTTATTATTTTACTAATACCTACTTACTTGCTATATGTGAGTGTTTGTTTATTTGCTTTTTGCTTTGTTCGTTTACATGTATATACAAGTGAATTCCTGTTGATCTTCTGTCATGCATGATTTTACTTGTTTGTAGGTCTTTTTGTGGGGGATGTTGGCATTATGGTTGCAGATTGTAGTGATGAAGCTTCTCTCAGTACAATGTGTTCTGCAGCAAGGATTATTCTGAACTGTGTTGGTCCGGTAGGAGAAAATTTTCTTTCTTTCACACTGTTAATGGCTGGTCCACAACTCTCAAATAATGTCAAGTCTAGTTGAAATTTCAGAAAATACTTGACTCAGTCTGGCCCAGGGCCATTGACATGAAAACATCAGTTATAATTGAAGATGATTTAAACTCCAGCCTGGTGAATTGCTTCAAAGAGGATTTACTTTGGTTTTGTTTCACAGTACCGGTTTTATGGGGAACCAGTAGTGAAAGCAGCAGTAGAAAATGGATGTCACCATTTGGATATCAGCGGAGAACCAGAGGTATGCAACTAGACGATAAATGATAAATTAGAGCTCAAGTTTCCTCATTGTTCCACAATCTTTTACAACTTTCACTCCTTCCACTCCCAAGATCCAGTCTTCAATTTTTGACCCTTCAAGTTAACACCCAAGATCTCATCTGTAATTCTTCTTACTGTCCGTTAAATGATTCTCATTATGTTAGTTTGGACAATTTGGTATTGGATCAATTAGTAATTCCATAATTGATATTTTTCTTTATTCTCATCACTTCATTGTAAGGAGAAATTCTGTCTTGGTCACCCATGGGAGTTAAAGGTTAATATCTACACTGTGTCATAAATTTCTTGGCCTTGAGAAGTCAGTTTTTCTTTTTTTCTCCTACCTTTTCTTCTGGAAAATGTACTAGTTTTGTAGAATTAAGAGATGTTACATTTTGGTCACCCCTGAGTGATGAGAATAATCATTAAGGGATTATTAGTGGATCCGCTACCAAATTCTCCAACTAGCATCCCAAGAATTCTATAGAAGACAGTAAGAACTGAACTACTAATGAGATCTTGGGAGTGAAAGTATAAAGCACACATTTTGGACTGCCACTTAGTCACCATTCTTTTCAGTGTTTCTGCAAGAACAGTATATAATTCAAAATTAAAGTAACCTGTCGACATATAAAATACTAAAAAAAGTTACAGCCACTGGTTTATTTGTGTTATACCAGTATTTTTGTATTGCATTTCTTTTCTCAGTTCCTGGAAACAATGCAGCATAAGTATCATAACAAAGCTGTTTGTGCAGGAGTGCATGTTGTGGGTACTTGTGGATTTGATAGCATCCCAGCTGACATGGGTGTGGTCTTTACCCAAGAAAGTTTTCCAGGTGCTGAACATTTGCTGTGTTCATACTCACAACAGTTATACAGATGTTTTATACTTTAATAAGTAAATGGCTGTTAACATATCCCATATAGGGATGCCAGGGAGACACAGTGGCTGTAAAAGAAGGCCATCAAATTTTAGCAGGGTTTCATTTAGCACTGTGTTACAAGTATCCCACAGGTCTCTTGGGGAGGAGGTCAGGAGGTTGAGGGCAGTTTTGTTTATAAACTCAGTGGATAAAACTAAATTATCTTGTAGTACTCCCTCAGACTCTGCTCCACAGTTTCTTAAGAAAATTACCTCTTTATTCATTTCTGCATGGATTAAGTCTGGATTACAGTCATTAGTTTTAGGTCATTTGCATTTTTGTTACATGTTTTAGGGGAACTGTGCCATTTGGAGAGCTTCTTGACATTGCATTCTGGTCCAAAGGTAATTTTTACAAATTGTACATCTACAAGAATCTACAGTTTACTCCCAATGACTTGAACCTTCAAGGGAAATTGAAAAAGGTTTGATGGAGTTATTGATAGTTTGAGTTATCAGGCACTGAGGATACAGGCACTGCACAAGTTAAAGTGCCTGTTGTAGCTCTTTATAATTAAATCTGATTTTGCATGTATAGCTGGGTTATTTTCAACTTTCAGGGATCAAAGGGGCATTATGGGACTTACCAGTCAATCATTTATGGCATAGCTAGTGAAAGGGAAGGAAATCTGAAAAATCTCCGAAAGGAATTGTTTTCAAAGTCAATGCCAAAGTTTGGACCTAAACTGGCCAGACGGTTTGTAAATTTATTATTTCATAATTTTGCTGAATTTAGTACTAAATATTTTATGAAAAGTTGTGCAATGTAAAATGTTACATTTTGTCTCTTTAATTGTGCAATTTTTACATCAAGTGGGGGAAGATTGATAGTGGGGTGGGGTGGGGTGGGGTGGGGTGGGGTGGGGTGGGGTGTGGTAATGAAGCAAACTGAGGTTCATGCATAATCTCTCTTCCTCAAATTGTTGGATACAGGAATGTGAGTGGTTCATGAGTAAATTTACAATTCTCTACTAATTTTGTTGCAATTGAAGTTAAAATCTCTTCAGTCATAAATTTCACAAAAACCAAACTGTTAAAACAGATAAGCTCTGTATAATTAAAAACAAAATGATAATGTTATAATTATGATCATAACTACTTATAATAATAATAATATAATAATAATAATAATAATAATAATAATAATAATAATAATAATAATAATAATAATAAAAACAATGATAATAATTTAGTGTTGAAGAGAACCAGACAAATTGGAAAGGGAACCATCTTCAAAACTAGGACTCGTGTCTCATTAGCCAGTGTCTTGGAACGTTTTCCCCGTGATGCTTTGCTAGGAGAAAGAAACAGAACAAACGGCTCAGACATGTTGCACGCAATTCAGTGATTGAGCAAGTCGATTGCACAATTCATTGTCAAATTGCCTTTATGTTTCCACTAGGAGTTTTATTTCATACAGTGATGAGGTACAAAAGTGGTGCATTCCCTTCCTTGGAGCTGATCCATCTGTGGTCAGAAGAACACAGCGGCACAACGTGGAAGTGCGCGACAAAAAGCCAGTCCAGTATGGCGCATATGTGTCTCAGCCTTCTCTGATGGTTATTTTTCTTTTCTTGTTCTTTGGTTTCTTCTTTTACATCTTGTGTCAGTTCAAGAAAGGACGTCAATTGCTGGAAAAGGCAAGCCTTATAGAGATCAGTTCTTAGCTTGAATCAGATATTTGTAAACTTCAAAAGCGCTTTTATGATTTATCGTAAGGAAACACTGTCACTGAAGGAAATAAATTTGCCTGTCTAGTCTGTCAGTTCATACAGCTAATAATGTGTTGTACTTATATTTCTTCAGCACCCAAAGTTCTTCTCGTGTGGCTTTTTCTCACATAAAGGACCAACCAGAGAACAGGTGAGGTGCTTACGACTTTCATCTCTCCCAGCGCTCTCTGCGCTTCTCACTCCGTTCTCTATATTTCCTTGCTCCTTTACTGGCATGATGGGTCAAGACAATTTTGGTAAATTTCTCCTCCTCCTAGCAGATTACCATCTGTCTAGAACAAGTGTACTTGAAACGCAATTATAGTCGACCAACCGGCTAAGTTCCTTGAGCCAATTTTCTGTACAGTATTTGCTACGGTGGTCGAAAGTAATCCGAGATTTCACTGGTTTTGCCTCGCTTTCTCTGTGACTGGTCAAAGAAACTCGCGCCACTCCCTCAACCAATCAGAAGCAAAACTTAAACCATTGCCGCTTGGTCGCTCGCGCTTCAGGCAGTGTGATTGTTTTAACTCCGATTTCCAATTGGTTCTAATTTTTTTTCTCCCCTCTCCTGATTGGCCGTTGTGATTACTTATTCGTGTTTCGGAGGCTTGCTGTGTATAATAAATATGGAATCACGTGAAGAGATGCGTGGAGAGAAAGCCCTACAAGATATCTGTTGAAACGCAATCCATTTTAACATCCACCTCTGTTCCTTTCTGGCATTTGAGTTCTTCGTCCTACAGTTTTATGATATTGTAGTCAATAACAGCAGCAAGGGTTTCATGAAAAAGTCTGTTACCGGCTGTCTACCGTCGCTTATAAGACCGCTGACCGCCATCTGTTTAGCCTGCGAGCCGGCTCTCATGTTTGGATTTAGTTTTACGGTCCCTAACGTCTAACTTCTCCTTACAACATTACCCCTGAATCAAACAGCAAGGTCATGAGAATAAAGGAGATGATCACCAACTAAGGAAGCTTTTGATTGTTGAACAAATTCTCCTTGTCAAAACCCTTGGAAATGTCTTGGGAGTAGTATGGAGAATATGCATGCTGATGTTAGGGAGTAAAGGGTTTAACCATCGGCAGCTGCTTATGGAAAAAAGGTTGTTGAACCCCCGAAGCTGTATATGACCTACTTGATTGATTTATTGGTTGAATGGTTATGTTATATACGTAAACTTCTGCTTTAAATTGCAGATGGCAGAAACTTCGTTTTCTTTCGTTATGAAGGGAGCTGGGTACAGTAAAAAAGCTGTGCAGTCAGGGTAAGTCAGAACTCTACTTGCTTTTTTTGTTGTTCCTTTTGTTAATTATGAGCATTTTAGACGTACTGATGGACATAAATTTACAATTGGGAAAACAAAAGGTCGGTTTCTCGTTATAGCGAAAGCCCATGTTATACATTTTTTTAATAACCCTTTGGCACCTGAGAGTGATCATCATCTAATTTCTCCTTACCTTATCACTGCTAAATCACACATCAAGGTCTCGAGAATAAAGGAAATAATCACCAACTAAAGAAGCTCTTGATTGTTAAACAGATTCTCCTTTTCAGCACCTTTGGAAATTTATAGAGAACAGTATGGAGAATATGTATACTGATGTTAGGGTGCAAAGGGTTGGGTAACATTGGTGACGGTCATATTGTTCCCTATGTAGGGATGCCCCAGCTAAACTTGATTGTCAGATAGTAACCAAAGTGACAGGACCAGGTGAGTCCTAACTGTTGTTTTTTTCATCAACAGCCCATTGCTCTGTTTCAATTTAAGGGGTAATTTAGCATTATCAACTGAGTTGATAACGGAAATTGGCCACCGTAAATGGTTTCAAAACTGACGTTTCGAACGTTAGCCTTTCGTCATAGCGAGTGGAGGAATTGTGCATTGTGTGTGTGTTTATACGCTATTGGTGGGAATATGGTGACGAGAAAACAAGAATAAATTAGTGAATAAATCAGTGAAATAATCAGCGATTAGTGATCACTTTAAAGGGGTTAGGTTATACAGCTAGAGAACACATTTATGGCTTTCATTTACCAAAATAATAACAAATAAGGACAAATTTCAAGGCAAAAAAAAGAGATACGCATACAAATCACAATGAAATTGGAAAGATCACGGCTTTGTATTTCAAGTTTGCCTCAATTAATGCAGTCAGATCAGTTTTCTTGGTTTGTTGATCCACGTACTAATGATTAGCTTTTGTTTTCTCTGCACCAGTTACTCTGCGATTTTCAGCTAATACTGAAGAAATGTAAAATGGTTTCCGTGTTTACGTGTTTACACTTGGGAGGTTGGGAGAACACGAGATAAGCGTAGGAAACCACGACGCGAAGCGGAGTGGTTTCCAGCTTATCGAGTGTTCTCCCAACCTCCCAAGTGTTTACATCAGGCTATGTAAACACGGAAACCATTTTACATTTCTTTTATAAAATAGCTAATGAAAGAGCCTCTTCTTGCAACGAAGGAAAGCGACTTGCTTGTTGTTGTTGTTCATTTGGCTTTTCGGCCGTTTCTTGAATACTGGGAAAATTAAACTCCAAAGAAAAATTGGGAAAATCTTCTTCTTCCATTACTTTACTCAAAACAAACTTAAAGAAACTGAGTTACTACTAAATAAATAGCAGGGAGAACTCCGCGAGAAGATTCAGTATGAAAACTATGTTTACATACGCTCATGTAAAATGGTTTTATGGCCAATCAGAGCACGCGTACTATTTGAATTATTTTATAATAAGATATTTAAAGCAATTTTTGTCCACTTTGTCAGTGCTTAGTTTCCCTTAGATTACACGACTCAAGGCAAGAAATAATTTACCGGCTGGCGCAGGTCAAGTTTTCTGGACCACCCCTTTTTTAGGCTGGAACTTAACCCACATTTGGCCTGACAAATATATCCATTATGTCACATTTCAATAAATTCCACACTTTAAGTATATTTACTACAGTCTTTATCGTTCATGCAGCCCCGAACTTAAAGCAGTGGAGTGATAGAGCCGTACTTGAAACCTGAACTTAGCGTAGAATTAAATTTGTCTTCGCATGCACGAACAACCAGTCAAAATATCTGATCAACGAGTAAGTTGACTATACAAAACCTTTATTTGAACGGACATTGTCCTCGAATGGCCATTATTTCGAGCACTGTGACCATTTAATCAGTTACAATACCTAAAGCTTTGGGCATGTCCATAATGCAGTGTGTTATATGCTGTAACATTCCTTTTTTAACTCATCAGAGGCAGGTTATGTTGCCACTCCTATCTGCATGGTACAGGCTGCTATGGTGATCCTGGAAGAGACTTTACCAAACAGGTATCTTAAAATAATGTTTTATATAGGTATTTTGACTAAAAAACATTAGGATTTATCTTGAGGACAGCCGCTTCAACTAGTTTACAATGTGATCATTTCTTTTTCAGTGGAGGCGTTCTTACTCCAGCTGCAGCTTTCACGGGGACATCATTGATTGATCGGCTCAATGAAAATGGTGTTGTGTTTTCAGTGCTTAGTTGCAAAGAAAGTGGAACATACTAGCAGTTGCTCTCAGGACAACAGAATGAGAGGGAATGGATAGGAACATGAACTATTTTGAAGTCCTATGGTTCCCTTGAGGATAATTAATATCTTTTTTGTCAGAAATTTTTTCTCAATATGGGTAGCTGATAAGAGAAAAATGGTTTTCTCATATCGGGAGCAAAACGTGAACGTGTGTTGAAGATGCTGAACTAATTAATAACCAGACACCTTCATATATCACTTGTTACCAATTTATTACATTCATTTTAAAATCGCAAAATTCGGGCGCTCAAATACAGGATTTCTAAGTCTGTTTTGGTGTTTTACTGATCTAATACTAAGCTTGTTTGTGAAAAGTTGCAATAGTTGTCTTCATGTTTCACTTATTACCAACATTTTAAAAATCGCAAAATCCGGGCGCTCAAATGCATGATTTTCAAATCTGTTTTGGTGTTTTACTGATCTAGTACTAAGCTGGTTTGTGAGAAAGTTGTAGTAGTTGTCTTTCATTTTCCTGCAATTTGATTGGTCACTGTAAGCAAGCCTTGAGATCTGATTAGTTGTTGTTGTGGGTTTTTTTTTTCTTGTAAAGCTTTCTCAATGGCTGGGAAAAAGGTACGATTTAGAGCGAAAGATGAAACGATTCGCGAATAAATCGCACTAACGAGAGCTCATCAGATTGCAAGTATCACCAGTGGTTTCAAAGTGGATGTAATGAATAACACCTTCATGTATTCTTACATCCTCAGCGTAAATGTCAATCAGGTTCGTTGTTATATCAGGTTTTAGTATTGAGTTATCAGCGCTCCATCACAAGTGCAGACAAAGAAATGGAAATCTACCTCCAGTCTTATTTCTACGATTCTGCCCTTCTTAGGCAAAGCTCTGTACCTGGCAAACTCTTTCTTCCCTCATTTTGTTCTCGAATTCTTGTCATTCCAAGTCCGCAAATCGTCCCAGTTTCCACCAATGATATTTATCCAATTATTTACAATCCACTTATGGCCCCTTATGACGTCGCATCCTCCGTGGTATGACCTGAGATCGAGGCTTGAAATCCAGCCGGATGTTTTATTAGTCACGTGATTATACCACATGATAGCAGAACCTCGTTTTGGTGTCACCCTTAGGTTAGCTTTTGAGCAGTACGCGCTCAGATTGGAAAGGTAGTTTGATTTCCTCATCCATGTCTGTTCGAAGAATAAGGGAAATGGACAATTAAAAAAGCCATGTTTTTCCTGGTCAATAAAACTGGGAGTTCTCTGCCGTAGTTTTTGCCGTCTGTTAAGAGTATCAACGATCCCAAGCCTTTAGATTGACTATTTCACCAAATTTGTTGACGTGACCATAACAATGGAAGTAAATCAATCTTTTCCTACAGAAAGAATTCAAGCTTAAAATTGTTAAGATAGATTTAGAAGTAAGAGATTATTGTACTCGTTTTCGAGAGAATGACGACTTACCCTTTTCGAGATCCGGCCGCAACGAAAAAGTTACATTTTGCGCTCATAATTTGCGATGAAAAGCTAAGGAAGAATTAACTATTTTTTCAGTGAATCACATATTAAGTTATCATGCGAACCTGTTGGTTGAATGTGTCACTATCGGCGATTGGAAAAGCGGTTTGTCCTCCTTCCGCCACATCGTTGAGAAAGTAGAGAATTGTTATGAACCTGGTCAAGGAATGAACGGATCATTGATGAAAGGCATTATTGCTGTTTCCTACACATGTAGGTTATGATTATTCTTGTGAAAGTGCAATTGAGAAAGTGAGGAAAGCGGGGAATACAGTTAATGCTATACTTAAGGTTAAGAAAAGCGTCTGAGAGCTTGTGAAAGATAAAAGGCAAGAAACGGCTGGAGATCAAAACAGAATCACCACTGACCGACTGACCTGCAGATACGACATTTATCCAATGATCTTCGATGACAACACGTAGCCTCGGCATGTAGTGGGTGAGAGTCATAATGGCAGTGATAATGACCTCCCGGGCCATATCGTACAGCCTGCAATAAAGAGCAATGAATTTCTATGTTTTAAATTTTTTCTTTGACCTAACACCAGGCTCTCCTTCCCGCTGGTCCTAAGGGTATACAGCTGAAGTTAAAATTTCATTATCATCATCATTACTCATCTTGGACTTTCGGTTTGACACACTCATCGCTCTAAAACATAAAAATTCTTATAGCAAAATCTTTCCTACCACAGGAGTTTCACTGCCTTTTATTATTTCAACTGGAAGACCCGTGAGAGCTGCCTTTCTGAAAAAGAGAAGATTAAAAATATCAAACTGAAAGTTGCTTCTTGATATCGTTAGGATCATTTCATCAACCGGTATTGAACTGGTGTTGATCTGATGTTACTGTTCCTACTTTTTATTAAGTGTTGTCGAGATTTGGTCATCTTCAGCGAACTCAATGTATGTTTGGTTACTATGGCGACCTTTGACCTTCGGTTCCAGATTTCCAACTTGCTTCACATATTTCATGATGTCGGCTGGTAAAAATTCACTTCGATGAATCCTCCCTAAGAGAAATTAACGAATGTTAAAACATGTCGCGTATTGCAGTTTGTTTATCTGGAGTGTAAAGGGCATGCAGATGAATAATTAGGACTTTAAAGCTTTGCGATTAGAATAAGCATCATTTAAAATGATCGAGAAAATTTCAGATTAAAAAAGGCAGTAAGAGTGACTTTCCATCCTGGGTCGGGGAGAGCTTTATATTTTGTGTAAAATTAATATCTTGCTCGAGCCATCTACACAATCTAACCTCTATAGAACTGTACAAGACAAATTTATTAGTAAACCATGCTCAGTAAATCGTCCATGATGATAAAAACTTCAACCGTTTCGTTTGAGAAAATTGCTCATGAAATACCCTTTTTACACTAAGTGAAGGTCATTGTTCAATCCAACCTCATTCTTAGGATCTCTCTCCCTCTCTCTCTCCTTTGCCTCGCTTTTATTTGAGGTGAGACGACAAGGAAACCAATGGAGAGAGAGAACCTGAGAGAGAGGGTTTGTTCAGCCAGGCTTCATTTGAATCTTTTGACTCACCTGGGTTAACCTTGCTAATATTCAACGTCGTAAGCCTGCGAAGGTGACCCACGGTAAGTGACCAGTTAGTATTTTCTTTAACTTAGTTGGAAAACAACACAATGTGAAATGAAAATAGAAAATATGTCATTTTTACATTTTCTTTACATCCTTTGTTGTGAAATGTAGATCCCAAAAGTAACGCATACCGGCAATGACCTTCAATAGAAAAAAATCACGGACTAACTTCAAATGCAAAGTAACTAAAACCACAAGGCAAGATGAAGCAATGAAAGCCATTTCTGCCTTAATTACTTGTATTGAAGTATTTTCAAGTTAATCCACAGCCACGATTATATCAACGTTCCAAATTGATTTTTTTACCTCGTCGCTATTTATTAAGTCATCTCGGTTGAGATCCCAGTGGTCGAAAGAAGTCTGGGTAAGAAGGCTATCCATTGAGTTGTGAAACACATCACTGTTCTCCTGTCTCCCATGCTCGGCCATTGCAAGAACTCTGTTGATTTCGGCTTCACTCAAGAAAGCAGGGATTTCTAAACACGTCAAATATATCGTATCTTACTGATGAAAGGCCTATCTGAAACGTATTTCTACGCAAAGCTCGTAATTTAACGAATCTTAAAGAATTCATCTAGAATCAAAACGGCAAAAAATATTTCACAACGTCTCCAAGTGTACTAAATTTGTCCTCAACTCGAACTCTAATAATATGTGGTGCACTTACCGAATATAGGGGGCCTTACACTCAGTGTTTTTACTGTAAAAGGTGGCTGTTCTTTAATAAGCCCGATTTGTCGAACAAAACCAACCTGATATAAAATAGATCAAGTTCACAAACTTTAGTATAATTAGATTTAAATCGTACGGGTATTTCCACCCCGGAATATAAATTTCACTGCTATTTATTCGTTGCTCAATTTTATACCTCAACAGGATCCAGGCGAGGTAACTTCGTTCTTCGAACAACGCATGGACCGTGTACATCGTCAAGATGATTTACTCCAGCTGAGTTTGAGGCTGCCAGAAAAATAACTATCGTCTGTAATACAATCGCCTTACGACGAGAATGCATTGTGTATCATTTTCGAAAAGGCATTATTAAATCGCTATACTGAAAAAGCGGCGATAAAATTTGAAATTCCATAGTTTAAAACGCCAGTAAAAGAATGGGCAATCTTAAATACGTGCATGCTCCTCGCAGCGTGTAATTTTAACAGGTACCGGCAATAAGTAGATAGCCAAATTTTGAGAGAGTGGTAAGATTATTTCTTCCTATTGTTTTCCATTTCAAACTTTCAATTTCTTTTAACTGGTTGAATTGTATTATCTGAAAAAATGTGCAAGACTTATTCAATTTTTCTAAAATGTTTCAATGCGAAACCTGAGTTTAGGTATTTTGTGACAGATATATTTTGATAAAGAATGTTTTCTGTTGTTTCCATGGTACCTGCCATGTGACCAAATGCCACTGAATTGTGTGATGTAAATAACTTTTATTCCTTTTCAATCGCTGTAACTTAATTTCCTTATTTGTTTTTCATGACTTTAATATTTTTACTTTTAAACTGAGACATTTTAGGTCCGGCTCGAGGTGTAAACCTCAAAATAAACGAAGGCACAATTCTCTTTATTTTCAGCCATGACTGTCAGCTGGGAAACCATAGGCAGTTCTGAAGGACAAAAATACAACAGAAGACTTAAGGCTTTTCCCTTTTAATAGACTGAACTCCACTTTATACATGTTTCACTCTCGAAGTTTATATTTCCGTCAACAACTATGGATTTCCATATTTGAAGGAAACATACATTATATTAAAAAAGGATTTCGGGAAAGAAACTTCGAATCCAAGCTCGAGTGTTGCTCTTCATCTTAACGAAGAAAAAGTAGAATTCGGCTCACAAATCAGTTAACACGCCATAAGAATCGTTGCAGTTTTATTTGAGAGCAATTTGAAAATATTTGAAGAGATAGATTTAGCTTTTAACCGACTGGTGGCTCAACTTCTTCAATGATAACTCTGTCGGCCTGGTTAGAGCCTGTGTAAGCATCCCCATTAGTGTTAAAAGGCACACCACAGTTGCCAACGCTGAATCCAACACGAACTTTACCAGCAGCAATTCCGCCACAATAGCCCTCTATGCTGGTGGGTCTGTGAACGTTGATGTTGGCGCTTTGGTACAAGGAGCCATCAATGGGAGCGGGAACTTTGCACTCTACTCCATTGAAAGTGAAGAACTATCTCTTACAACACGCTGTGCAGCCAGTGATACGAATATTGCCCATGTAAACCACACGAAGGTATGAATCACCCCTGAGCTTGACAAAGTCACACTCCTGGAAACGTTGATCAAGGAAGTTATTCCGCATATAAACTATTTTGATAAAAACGGTCTATGACAGAATCTACTGTAAATTACGTTATTCTCAGTTCGAGAGTCAAGCCCAATTTACTCTTCTCAGGTATAGCTGTGTGGTCAAACTTCAAGAATTTCGAGACAGAAGGAAATCTGTCAAAAATATTCTAAGATTAATCGTTTTTTGTTTGTTTGTTTTTATGAACGATGATGAAAATGATGCAGCATCACTAATCACAGACGTAATCATCTCAAAGCTGGCACAACCTTAGCGAGGAACCGCACTGTACTGCGTGAGGAATTTATTCCGTATTACAAAACGTAAACTGGTCGCGTCTCATTGTTAAAGGAAATGATATATTTTCATCATAATATAGTAACTGATTTTCTTACATGCACTTTTCCATTGTCTCTGCCATCCTTTGTATTGTCGTGTACCCACGCGCATTGTTTCCACCGTCGAGAATTTCCAGCACCACTCTGACCACAGCCGCAGTAAGCAGATGTCCCTGGTGTTCCTGGATTCCCAGGGATACCAGGCGTTCCTGGTATTCCCGGTTGGCCAGGTGGACCTTGACAGCACTGGTGGGGAAGAAACAATAGATGAAGCTGCATTGGTGTGGAGAATGATGGGGTTGAGCCGTGTCTTTGATAACGGGAAGGCGATAATAAGCGAGTCATGCTTCTTAGATGAAAATAAATTCTCAATGGAAGACAGCATCAAGAAAATTGATATAATAAAACACGAGCATTAGAGCATTAGATAGACATGTAGTTTACGGTTCAGCAAACTGAAAAACTTCAACTACTTCTTCTCTGCTTTCAGCTTTTGTACACCAATTGAAAATACACAAACCGTGGGTAAACAACTTTCTTCCCATTTTATTATAAGGTTGATTTAACTACATTGTGCTACTCCAATGTGACGTCTCAATATGCTATTTGGTCCTCGTGTTATGACATTATGCTATCACATTTGACTATTTTGCTTTTGCAATGTGCTGATTTGTCACTGTACCTTGGCGTTCGGCTATTATACTTTGCTATTTTGCCATTGCATTTTAGTATTCTTCCATTTCGACATTAGGAAGAGCAGTTTTGCTGTTGTGATTTATCATTTTTATAGCGTGCGTTTCATTATGGTGTATTGACAAGGTAACGTACAGTTCGGCATGACACTCAGAAACGAGTTTCGGACAAGATAAATTATTTCCCGCCAAAATTATAATTATGTTAATTTATTTCCTCTCTGTCGCCCTGTCTTGGTTGGAAACACGGTGGCTCTTCGTGAAAGTGCGGTGAATTTATAATTATTAGAAGAGGCGACCTGTCTAATTAGGGAACACACATCCCAGGGTCCCGAAAATGGTCCTCCAAAGTACGGTGCAGTAGCCAGTGCAGTGAACAGATGGGAAACCGACGGACGTGTACTGGAAAATTTTCGAAATTTATTTCAGCCGCACACGTGATTACAAATCAATATGGCTCCAGTCTCTGGTCGTCCGCCTGAACTGACTAAATGAGTTTGGTCAGCGGAGCTAGTCAGCAGATGACTTTTTCATCGCCGGAATATCGCGATCGACCTCGCTGAACAAGAAAGGCTGCCTTCTCTTCGCTACGTAAGTAACCATTTCTTGTTTGACACATCGGTGTTTTCACTCGCATTGATATTTCATTGTTCCGCTTTGAGACACGCGGTTAACAATACTCACGAGCAAGGAGTCAAGATATAAATTATTAACTTTTACTATTTTTATCATCCAATCACAGGTCGGAGCCATTCCTGTAGTTAGTCGCTTGTGCCGGAGAGTAATGTGAACACATTACTATACTAAAATGGTTTGTTTGCCAAAATTGGTGTTTATTGCCGTACGTGGTAGGTAATTTTACGACATGTTTTAAACAAGAGTTTCATTCAAATACATATATCTAACCCAAGGTAACTTTCTGGACTGGAATGTCAGAAATGGTATGGTACTGTGTGTTAACTAACTTTGTTGGTATAATTTTCAATAGTTTGTCTGAGTATGTCAGGATACTGAGCTGAGGCCGATAAGTTAGAATGTTTTGCCTATTTTTTATCTTAAACAAGGTCATAACATGAAGCAATTTTGTCTTCATTCTTTAACTCCCGAGATCTGTTTGCTAATTCTCCCCTCTGGTTTCTAGATGTTTCCTTGTACCTTTGTTACAGGAATTTGTTGTTAGATCAAGATAACGACTTACTCTTTTGTTGGATATTGTATAAATATTTTAGGGAGAAGTTACATGTAAATCACATCTGGGAGTTTAAGGGTTAAACAGCGTGATGTGATGCACTGCTACCTAAATTTCACTGAAGTTCGAAATATCCAGGACTTAAGCATTCCCCACAAATTTGTTCAAACTGCAGCTTACTAATTCTGCAGAGCAGTTGCAATATGCAACTCTAATGCTCACAATTTTGACAAGTACTAGTTAATCTTTCATTTACTTAGACTGAAGGGAAAATGAAATTGTTCATTAACTTGAAAGGTGATTGATAAAGAAACCTTGAGACTTCACCTTACCTAGAATTTGATAGCAGAGAGTAAGAAGTACTGTTGAGCTCTTTGGAGTAAAAGGGTTCAGTGAACTTAACCTTAATCTACACATATTTTAAAGAAGACCTTAAATTGAGTTGTGATGCAAATGTTGTCTAGCTGTAGGCTGAATACCTTTCACACTGAATCCAGATTGTTTCTTAATTCCCACATTCAAAGATACATTTTTTTAAAGAGCTGTAACTTATGAACTTTGATGAATTTATTTCACTCAACAGTCACTTATACATGTAGTTAGTATGTTAGTAATGGAATCACAATTGTAAGCATTTATATTTTGTACAGCTTCCTTTTTCAACAAAGACCAAGATGGGTCTTCCTTTAAGGCAGCTCTTCTGTCCGGTTCCCCAGGAGTGGGTAAAACCACATCAGCGACACTGGTTTGTGAAGAGCCTGGTTTTACGTACATTGAAATGAATGCCTGTGACACACGGAGCAAAAAGACCTTGGAAGAACACATTTCTCAGTTACTGAACAATAAAACCATGGATGGCTTTCTGACAGGTTGTCAAATTTCTGTAAGATTTGGAATGACTGATATTATTAGAGATGCTTCATTCATTCTCCTGTCTTACTAAACTGATTTTCCACTGTAGTTAATTTATTATTATCAACTGAGTTGGTAACGTAAATTGACCACCGAAAAGAGTTTTAAAGCTGAGTAGAGCACTTCGTCTATACATTGCTGCCTACGCCTGGTTTATAAGTTAATATGAAATTAAATTATTAATGATTATCAATATATGCATTACTGGTACCTGGAAAAGCTCGCCTTTCAGTTGGTACTTGAAATCATTAAAATTTACCTGACTTTTCTTTGCCAATGATGATAAGAACTGCCAGGGTTATTTAGCACGTTAGCGAGAACTTTAAAATATTGTGCAAATTGCTAAGCTAAGGAAGGTTTTGTGGTAAACTAAGGACGGTATGAGACTATATCACATGATAAGAGGCTTATACTTTTTACAGTTGATTGAACGAAAATGCAAGAGGCTTTGGTACTGAATAAATAATGAATTGCCTTTTTTACTTTTAAAGCATTGACAACAGATCAAATAAAATACGAAAGTTCAGCGATGTAAAATCAAAGAGCTTTTTACATCAATCTTTTTTTTTTTGCTTCTTTGAGAATGAGAAGTTAAAAATGTAATATGAGGCCCTGTCCAAACTTGGCGTATAAATAGTGAAACAGCATAGCTACAAAATAGAATCACGGATCACGAAATAAACAATGATACACGATTTTCAGTTTCGAGTTCGATGAGCTTATATTCAGCTTCTTCAATACTGCTGGTGTTACCAAGTGTACCGTTTTGTTACACAATTGTGGGGCAAATCACATTTTCACAGGAGTTAAGGTGAGGACAGAATAAGTTAATAGCGACCTAATGCAGTGAATGAGATAAACGGGTATTGACTAAAGATACAAATAGAAATAATTTGAGACATGAGACACTAGAATGAAAGAAATGTCGATCTTATTTACTCGTCACGAACGCAGGATCGAATCTTAGACCATCGGACTTTACGATTTGAAGTTCTCACATATAGCCATGGATTTCTCACTAATGAGCTATGACATACAGTGGATACATAAAGGATCATCCTGCATACTGCCTAGATCATCAATGTCGAAAGTTTCCTGTCTTAAAACACATAATGATAGAAAGGAAATTTCAAGTTCTTTCGTGACAGAAGAAAAAGTCATTTTTAACCAACGACCGAAAAAAAAACCCTATCCGTCAGATCAGGTTAAACGACAGATTAAATATCAAAGGAAAGTGTCAAGGAGGAGTGACAATTGCCCCACCACAACAGTACGCAGCAGAGACTTTGCGTCGATTTAAATTATATTAAAGGCACGCCTTTTTCCTCAACATTCCCACGGAAACTCGCTTAATAACTGATGTAGCGCACTTCATGATTTGCCGTCGCAGTATACTTGATTAAAGACGACTTTCGCCTGCTTGTTGTAAACAAAAGTACGATTTTAGCTCGTTCATTGGCCAAATACTGAAACATATTTGAGCCATGGCTAATTAGAGAGAACATTATTTCGTTTAGGGGACATATTGTGTCCAAAATATGTCACATTTATTCAATCCACGGTGCGTCATGTAAGGAGTAAATATGAGCTATTGTGCTAATCTATTCTCAAAGATACTTTTTGCATCGTATGTTGTAATCGTATAAAAGGCTGATGGACCAAACATAAGTTTATTCGCAGTTTACTATAAGTTTATTTATTGTAATATTTTGTGGTGACTTCCACCCTGTTCAGTCGAGTCAGCGTTTGTACCTAACTAATCCACGGTTACAATATAACATAAGTTGCGCTTGTAATGAATCGAGAACTATATGCTTGGGTGGAAAGAGCACTGCCTATTAAAGCAACATGGGGCTCAATCTTCTAAATGATGATTCTACTGACTGAATTCCAGCCGGTGTGGACATTGAAAATACCAAAACTATGGCACTAACTGACGTGCAAACCAACGTGCACTAAGCCTTTGGCGATTCCTGCGCAGTAGACTTCTTACTCAACTCATTTTCCCCTGTAGTAGGTTCTGTAACAAACAGTCTCATTTCTAGTTTAATTAGTAGACAGACAATTGTAAACACTTATTTACGGGGTAGAAGGCCTCAAAGAGGGATTTTTAACAATGTTTTTGGATAAAAGAACGCGTGGGGCGGCTCGAACTGTTAGATGAAATTTGTTTGTGTGTACCACGCAGGTATGGTGCTTTTAGCGCGCGCTGATTGGCTATTTCAGAGATGCCTAATCAAGAGTTTGTTTTCCTATAATTTTTCTTACACCGACAGAAATAGACTAATGTTTTTGTTCTTGTGAGGTATATTCAAAAAATAACTCCTCACTCTAGTTTCAGTGAAAGTGGTCTATATTTACCAAGCCGTAAGGTATCCACCTCTACCCACTTTGTAATATTTGACTATATTTGCCGAACCTTCTTGACCAAGGTTTTGAAAGTAGGAATTATGAGGTACTCATAAAATAAGAAATTCGATGAGAGAGTAAACCTAAAGCAAGGAACTTAAGTATTTTAAGAGTATCAGGGACAACTTGAAACTATGGCAAAATCCGATATGGCATCATTTGCTTCCTAATTTTGTTTAATTTAGCTTGCAGTCGTAATTATACACAGTGAGGCAGTCTCTCTCACTCCATCCAATAATGTATTTTATTCTGAAAACGAGGAAATTTATCAGA